AGAGCCCATGTTCTGGCTCAGCTAGTCCTCCAATTGCTAATGCCAAAGTGCTGGAAGCTATGGATAACCCTGATGTGTTTTACACCAACCGACAAGCCTGCGACCAAGGTGCAAGAGTTGGGCACGCACGCGTAGGAGCTGGGCTCGAACACTCCCTGCTTGCAGGCCTCAGCCCATGAAGCCACTGGGTCAACCATCTACCGCCGGCAGCCTGAGAAACCAGTGGGAAATCTACAGCACATGAGAGCTGATAAGTTGACCATACCCGCCAGATACCAGTTGGAATATGTCTCCGCACATGTTTCCGCAATTGCTTTCTTGGAGACAACCACAAGAAAGAAACACGCACAAACGATTCATTCATACGTGCTACATGCAAATCTGCCCACGGGTGGGCCTGGTGTAGACTTGTTGAAGTCGATTCCTTACGAGTGGGAATCTGGATTGTTCATCGTCTACTGTCATAGGTGATGCACCCCAAGAACAGCGAACCATCAGAACTTGAAAGGATCAACCAACCGAACGGTGCGTTGTCCAATTGTGCCAGCAGGAATGGCACCATGTTAATGTTGTCCGGCCATCAAGATTTCGAAGCCATCATTGCCAGGTCTTGGACAATGGCACCTACGTCAGCGCGGGCACGAATTCTGTACCGCGGACTTCCGGATCCAAGCAACTAGGTGCGGCCAAGAGGCCAGGGAAGACACCGACGGCGTGTAGCCGGTCTTAGGCCGCTGGTGATTCACATGCTTGTTTGAAGTACCAGAAGGAAGGCCCATGAACCACTCCAGGTTTTGCAAAGCCAGTTCAACAATGGAACACCGCGCGCTCCGTTGAGGGGCCTGTTTCGGGTATCTTGGGTGCCGCCAGGGCCATTGAAGCTTCCATTCATGATGGGCCAAAACAAGGAAACCACTCAAAGCGAAATAAGCCCAGATCAGATGGCGATCGCTTCACTTGCCGAATGTCACAAACATATGGCCATGTGTCAAAAGCCAAATCGGACCCCCAGTGAACATCCCAATCCCCACAATAGACTAAAATGGGTGGTACACCTACCCCAAAATGGTACCCTCGGTTTTGACCCACAGCATTTACACAAAGTTAGTTCATGAAGGCAAGAGAAGGCGCGCCAAATGCAAAGATCAATCTTGCTAATCAGAGATTCCCCTTTGGGTGATTTCATCATTTCAGGGCGCACTTCTGATTCGTAGGGTTGTCCGGTCCTCTGGGTGAATCCAAAGTTGACATGAATGTCGCGGCCTCCTGATTAGAAAGCCTTGTGGATTCTTCGAGGAGCGTTTCCCCCAGCACAAGGGATCCCTCCAAAATGGGACACTCCCAACTGAATCAACTAGAGTTTGACTAATTGTCAGCACGTGACTTTATAACCACCTCTGATTGAAGACATCCGACTTTTTTCAGAACAATACTACTTTAAAGGCACCCACAACATTTGGCCAAATGATCCATCTCAACAATTTGCTAGCACTTCTCAGAACCCCTTTTGTTTCAAGACGCCTCTTTCCGGCCCAACATCCCAAACATGCAAAGCAGGGCAATGCTAAACTACCAACGCTATTGCCAATACTCTTGCCAACACTAAGTTCTTTCATAGTCTGAAGGGTTGCCAGTCCAGAAATAACAAGCGGCTAGCCAGAACATCAAGTTTCTTATTAATTACAAATCGCTTTAGAACAAAAACAAGGCTTGAACAACTCGCAGGGAGTGTTTTCTCAGCTATCCCCCTGAAGAATAACACAAACCCCCGCTGATTAATCCTGGCCCTCTCCTCCGGACAGTCCTGTTGGCCAGACAGGGGTTCGCGCAGGAAAGCACCGGAAAAGGAACTGTCAGGTCCGGATCACCCTCCAAAATCCGAGGGATGAGGGGGCGTGGTTTCATTGATGCCTCCATTCAATCAGCGTTTTCTTTCTGAATCAATGGGGTGGTGGTTGGTTTCATTGATGAGGGGTGGTGGTTTTATTGATGCCTCCATTCAATCAGTGCTTTTTCTCTGAATCAACTGGCTCGAATGTCTTTAGATCCGAGGCACGTTGCACCGGGGTGTGCAGCTCCTGCCCCCTGCGATGGAGCCGCCCTCTGCACAGCCCACGTTCGGGGCGTTGGCCAGGCCTCACGAATAGCAAAAAACACGCTGGGCGCTAGCGATGGGTTTTTGGGTTGGCGGTGAGGGCTGCTCTCTTTTGTTGCTAAAGCCATTGGGAGGATCCCAGTTTAGATCATGTGACGTAGCTCAAGGAGCATGTGCTTCGATCTAAACACACACACAAATACACACACACACAGCCTGTCCCGGAGAATGAGACAATAACGCGGCCGAAGCTGAAGACACCGGGCTCAAGTTGGCATGACAGGATGTGCGTCGAGAACCCTCCAAACGCGACGATCCAATGTTGCGAGACATGTTCCAGTGTTGAATTCAGAAGACTAGGTCCTCCAGTAGAAAGGTTAGAATAAGGGTACCCATTTTGTGGAGAGTCTATTTTGGAACCCTCCCCCCAAAAAGGGTAAACGGGCACTACTGGAGCGGGCAACAGGGGAACTTCAGCAAAGCGACTCTCCGTATGTCTTACACTGAAGAAGCAACACACACACGCCTATGATTCAACATCCTGGAACGTGTCCACGCATCGCAAGCTAGATCCAAGTCTGAATCTAACACTTGCATGCGAGCTTAAACACGTTGAACCTGGATGTGCATAGCCAATCCCTTGCATCAGCCAATTGGCTCGCGAACCAAGAAGCAAGGAACAGTTGTGTGTGCCAGGCCGCTTCGGCAAGGTCTCGAACGAATGGGTCGGGCATGCTGCAAAACAGGGAAGCCTGATTTTAGCGGTCAAGAAAGGAAGGGAACCCGCCCCCCCCCCCATCAAAAAAAAGAAAAACAAGAAAGGAAGGGAACCCGCCCCCCCCTAAAAAAAAAACACAGAGCGGTGAATCAGACTTCACGTGCGGTCTGGGCGGCCTGTGGGCGCCGGGCATTTCAACTCGTCGCAGCTGAAGGAGGCCGGGGAGAGCACGCCCGCGGAGCAGTCCAGCTTGGCCTCATTTTCGTGAATGGCCGGCCGCGGCGAAACGGCCGTGGGCTTTTCAAAACCCAAATCGTACCCCCAGCGAACATCCCAATCCCCGCTAAGTTCTAAAATGGGTGGTGCACCTATCCCAAAATGGGATCCCATTGGCTTTGACCATGGCCAAATGGGGGCGAGTGATGACCCAAACTGACTCAAACGGCCTAAGAAGGGGCTCCAAGCCGAAAGGCTCTCTGGGCACAAGCTCTTCTACAAAAGCTTCCTTGTGGGCGGGTGGGGGGGGAGGGGGCAAAGGAGACTTAAAGAGACAATACGAAGAGTCGAACTTAAAGGCTACCCACCCTGTGCATCTGGCACATTGCCCCGCCGCCCCCACGTCAGACACCTCATGAATCATGCAAAGGTTCTTGGAGGGGCCCACTTCAACTCTCAGTTAAACAGGCAGTCTATTCTTAAAGCCGACGGTAGAATAGTCTTTTCTTAAAGCCGCCGGTAGAATACAACCAACACAAGCTTCCAAACTAGCGCTGACAGCCAGGCTCGGCCATGGCGGATCGATCCGTAAGGTAAGGCTCCTCCGCAAGGCCTCCATGTGCAAATTGCCCCCGGTCTCTCAGCATCTCGCTTGAGCCTATGGTCTCCAAATCCCCACTACCTTAAGGGGGAGGGGGGTGGGTCCCACAATTCCATTTATTCAGTCTTCCCCACAAAAGGGAAGATTAAATCCCCAATGGAATTCCAGGGGTCACCCCCCTCCCCCAATTGCATTTTGAAGGGGGTGGGGATGTCTCCAACTTACTGACGCGTTGGCCTTGTGCCCATGGCAACATGATCTAGTCCCTCGAGTGCGCGCTCTTCACTAGGCCCGGCGAGCGGGAGCCTCCCTTCCCCTGTTCAATGTGCACTATCAACATCTATTATTTGATATATGTATATACGTACATGTATAAATTATGAGTATTAGTGTTTTGTTTATCATGTTTCATTGGGAAGTTTGGTATTGCACTTGACCTCAGCACCCCACCAGCTGGTTTTGTCACATCTGCTTGTTTGTTTTAGAATGTTTCATGAACATACCCAGAATGTGCGTTTGGTAAGCAGAAGGTGGCTTATTTAATTTGCCTTGCCCCAATAATTTGAAGTCCGAGAATGGATGAGGGTCCCAAGCACTGGTTCTCCAAAACGGAAGCAACAGCGTCATCTACCGCTGTACCGCCCAAGCCTCTTAGTCCCTTGGTGCGTGCTCTCAAGCAAATTGTTTGCCAATGTGCGAAATTACAAGAACGCAGCTGTTGGGCAATTCTTTAGCTCAGTTGTTCAGTGACCCTGGAAAAAATGGGAACCCTTTTTGGGGCTTGGACCATTTTTAGTGGGGCAGCCAACAAAAAAGGGGAAAAACGATTGGTGCCACTGAACAACCGAGTTAAGTTTTGTCGAGCCTCCACGGCTGCAAAACTGCAAACCCCAGACGCGATTTCGTAGATACCGGTAATTGGCGTTCAAGTGCGTCGCTTTCGCGAACAAAGCTTCGACCTTGCAATCCTAGAGAATATATGCAAAGAACATTCGCCGACCTTTCGCGAATGGGCGAAGAACAAAGACCCTTTCCCGAGACCTTCTGCGCCTTCTGCAAGTTCGCAACCCAGGAAAAGCCGCCGTTGAACAATAAATGTGTCTCACAAATATGTCCCTTCATTGCAGGGGCTATCGATCTCTACAAGAGTGATCGCCAATTGCAATCTTTTGCAGGGAGCCATTGGAAATCCTCCAAGGCCTATTTGCATTTCTTGCAGGGAGCCTTTGGAAATGCCCCCATTTACTGGGGGAAATCCCTCTTGCATCCGAGCTGCCACGGAGGTCTGGAATCCCGGCATGCAGGTGGTTTTGCACACCGCGCCAGAGGCGATGACGGTGCCCACCTTGCCTTTGCAGCCGTTGCCCTGCCTAGGAAAACCGAAAACCGACTCCGGCCCCAAGGGATCGATCCGAATTCGGCCCAAGGCACGCGTTGGCCACAGTGGGCAAGTTGCAGGGGGTTGGCACGCCTTGGCATGCAGCGCTCGGAACGGACGCTCATGTATGTTTCAGTGTGTGTGTGTGTGGGTGTGTCAAACCAGGGGCCCACTTTGAATTCACGCTCCTTCAGGCAAGAATAAACAGGCCTGTGCTTCACCTGGATGCACATGGATGCATTTAAACATTATGCCCACTAAACATGTAGCCTTGGGAGAGACGTACTTTAGGCAAGCTACAACCACAAGAAGCAAGGTAGCAACCAAACAAATTACATTAGACATCGTGGGGACGCCCTATAATGCACAAAACCGAGAGGCTTCCGTTTGGCAGTTTTCAAAGCACTAAGAACGCAATGATTTCGAGTTTGCCGCACCTGCCAAACAAACGGGGACTTTCATTTGCTTAAGCCCCTGGATTTGTTTGACTATGTCCAACAGTGATAGTTTCCCTTCAAAACCAACGGGGGAAATTGCTTTAAAACAATCTCCAATAGTGATAGATTCCCTTTGAAACCAACAGGGGACTCAAAAACAATACAAATCTTGAGCAACTGGACGGGGATAAGTGCTTCTGTGGCACAGCTGAAAGTGCTCGGGGTCAAAACCTCCGCAAAGCAGCTCAGCAATGCCACATCTGGCGTGTAGCCTGGCCGAAAATGAAACGTGGCCTGGCCAAAGTGAGGATAGGCTCAGCCCAAAGGGTTGACCCTGGAAATAAAAGATGATCACCTTGTGGGGCCATGACTAGACATGGTTGCCAATATTGGAAGGCCCAAAGGTCAGATGTCGGCTGGGAGTTTTCAAGGGAGCACCTGCAAACCCCCGGGGAAAGGGAGAAACCGGAAAAATAATTTGGCCACAAGTGCCCATGCCCTGCCCTGGCTTCTGTTTCGGACACTTTAACTAAGCCAACTTCAATTGAGCCTGGCAAGCGGAAGGCCAATCTCGCTTCGTCGGGGAGCGAGCGGAACGATGGCACATGTCAGCATGACATGTGTTCACATAGACTCCGAATTGTTCTGCAGGACATCGCATGGTGACATGATTGAACAGGGCAAACCGCTCAGGCATTGTTGTTGAACCTCTCAACTGCAACTATCAGATGGTGCTTCAAGCACATGCATGATAAAACAATTATGCCCGTGACCATCGAGGTTTCCCTGAGCCCTTTTCATAGGTTTGTGAGAACCGAACGGCTTAAGGGCTATCTCGGGTAGCACGGAGCCCACCAAAGGGTTGGAGACACCCTGGCTTCCTATGTCCTATGGAAAATTCCCCGAATTCCCCGAAAGGCTCAGCGAAACATGGGAGCTAACAAGAAAGCAAACAGCGAACAATGATCATCAATATCAACCAGCGCGCAATTTGAGACTCCTGCAATTGGCGGGAGCCTAGAGTGTGATAACAAATGGCACGCCCAACTTGCGTACCCAAGCATCTGTTTTAATCAACTCAGCAAATAAGCTGTTGTGAAGAAGGGCTCACTTTGCTAATGCTGGACAAGGCATAGCTGTTCTGAAATTTCTGGCATAGCCCACTTGGTGCCAATGTCTCGGTAACAAGTCATGAAAGCATCTGAGGCGACAGCAAGCAAAAAAGCATATGTGACCTTGCTCCCCCTCCTCCCTCACCCAATGAGCATTCAAATGTGCACCGGTCGGTACTCTGCCCCTCAAAAACGCAAGCCTCCGATTTGTCGTTTAATTTCTTCACTTCCGATCGAGTGGATGGTCAAACAACACCAAACTTGCCAAACTTGTTCTTTACCACTAAAATGGTCGAAAATAAACCACCAAACTACTAAAGTAATCCCCCCCAAGAGTGACTCACGTCCATGACCGCCCTGGAGGTGTGTTTCATTTGAAAGCGCCCGCCTGAACTGCACTCGGTCTGGCAAGTGGTGCCCGAGGAGATGCTGGAGCCGGTGACGCCCTGGCAGCCGTTGCCCGCCTGCGCCGGCAAAAGCCCGTTGCCAAGTTTCCCCTTGGCTCGGGGACCTGTGAGCTAATGTTGACCCAGAATTAATAAACCCGTCCCATTATGAGGGGGGTGTTCCCTCCAAAAGCGACGAATCCCCACTAAAAGGGGACACCCCCCGATTAATCAACCAGAGGGGTTAATTAATCCGGGGTTAACATTACCTCAAACCACTCAAACTGTTCAAATGCTTTTTTGGGGGCTGAACACTCACGGCGTACCATCCCCCGAATTCCTTCCCTGCCCCGTTCCCTCCATCCAACGCTTTTGGCGAACTTTTCCGAATTTTTGGAGGGCCACGGGGCCTCGGAAGCCTCGAAAGGACCAACCGCTTGGATGACCCGAACTCGGTTCTGAACATTCCCCCCCCCCGCCCTTCCCGGGGCTCCCTGCTTCTTCCGCTGCTTTTTCTTTTCTTTTTGTTCAATCGTTGCTTTTTATTTTTATGTTTGCAACCAACAATGCCCCCACAATGCCCACCCCGCCACCCCCGCCCCTTCGCTCGTTTTTTTTTCGGGCTGCCTGGAACTGGACAGTGGGCAGCGAGCAGCCCTTGGGCCGGCAGGTGAAGGTCTCCGGGGTCAGCACGGAGGCGTAGCAGCTCAGCGACCCCACGGACGCCGTGTACCCGCTTTGGCACGCCGCCTGGTTTTCTTTTTGTTTTCTCCCTGTTTCTTGTGTTCCTTCTTGTTTTGTTCCCTTTTTTGTGTGTTTCTTGTTTCTTACCATCGAGTCGCGCATCCGATTCGCATCTGATTCGCCCGACCCAACTGGAAGTGGGGCTGGCAACCCAGCAACTTGGGACCCACAAAACCGGGGCCAAGAGCTTCCGCAAGCAAACCTCGGAATTGCTGGGGAAATCACGGGGGGAAATCACAAATGGGGCAACATACTGGTCTTGTACTCACAAGGCAAAAGCATGGAACATACAAATTCAATCTGCGTGGTGCTGCCATGGCCAGGTCAGGTTCTGTTATTTTAAGGGGCATTGAAATGCGAAAAGTCGTGTGTAGCATAAACAGACAGAACCTCGCCTGGCCGATTTGGGCATTGATGAGTCTGGGCATGGCTTTGTCACTACGTAGCCCAAGCTTAAGGCGCAGTTCGACCTGTCTCTTGGTTGGCAAAGTCTGGACACGGGCTGATTATCTTGATCGCGGATCAAACCACACGCTTGTCAGAAAATAATGCCAACCCGCCGAAGAGATATCATGTCACTCGGAAGGTTGGCAAAACACATAATACTAGTCGACAGAAATACAACATGTTCGGATAAAATGGTCCAGTGCACGGTTTCCTTGCCTCACTTCGTTGCTGTAGTGGAAAACCTAACTTGGTTTCAACCACAAAGTTCTCAAGTCTAAAGATCCAAGCCAATAACAGTTAAGCTCTTTAGCAGTTCAGTGGGGATTTCCCACTAAACCACAATAAGCAAAAGTGTAGAATGTTTCCCAACCACAACCATGCAAAGGCCTCCCCTTTTGGCACTTCAGTTCTCGCACCCGCCTGGCACTTGGACCCCGAGTCGATCATCCCGCCGCTGACGCCACTGCAGCCGTTGCCCTGGGCCTTGTTCACGGAGGGCAGGGCGCAGGCGTTGGGGTTGCACTTGAAGGTGCTGGGCGTCAGTGTGGCCGCGGTGCACTTCAAACTGGACTCGGAGGGGCTGAAGCCGGCTTTGCCTTGGCGAAAAGGCAAAGGGATGGGTTGAAACGACTTGAGGGCATGAGTGGAAAAAAAGAACTGGGATTCAGCCAACGCATATACCATCATAAGCTTAGCATGAATGACAAAAACGACTCTCTTTCCAATCATGGAAGTGGGTTCTGGGGGCTTGCCCGAAAGGAAATTTGTCTTCCAAAACCCTCCGATCGTCAGCTTCCATTGGCGTGTTTTATCCAAATGCTGACCCAGCTGCACTCGGGGTAACAAGTGGTGCCGCTGGCGATGCTGGTGCCCCTCTTGCCCTTGCACCCGTTGCCCTGCCTGTCTGTCACCTGGCAAGGGGAGTCAAAGCTTGGGAAGTACTTGCCGCTCAAGGAATGACCCAGGCTGTGGGAATGACCATCCCTGACAACTTCCGAGTTCAAAACTGGGCGGCTTTTTTGCCCTAAGTGCTCCAACCCCAATGCCAATCCCCAAGCTGATCCATGTTGGACATGCGCGCGGCACAAGCTTGTTCTATGGGCTCCATTCGACCAGCCGTTTAAGGTCGCACCATGTCGTGCACAGCTGACAGTCAGAGCCATGGATCGGATCGATACGCGCATCCAGGCCTGTGGCAGCACGCAGGGGTCCGGCACGCAGGAAAAGGTCCGTGGGGACATCTTGCCCAAGCTGCAGCTCAAAGCTGCGACGGAGGGAGCAAAGCCATCGGCGCACCTTGGTCAATGAACTCACCCAGGCTGGTAACAAAGCCTGTGATGGGTTTCATGGTTCTTACTGTGGATTCTGCAGATCCGTTTGGTTTGGTCCTGAGGGGCTTCGCATCATGGATCACAGGTCATCATCATGTCCGATGAACATGATTGGCAACTTTAATCTCATTTATATCATGGCTCAACGTATACTAGCAAATAAATGTACCCTCCCACATATTCACATGGACCCTGACGATCGGGGTTCTGGTCCTTGTTTGGACCATTTCCCTTTAAAACCGGGTCCTTGTCAGGTTCCGGCTGTGAATTGGTCCCAGACCTCCCTACATGTCCCTTTTGAACATCACCCCACCAAAAGGAAAAAACTCACTGTCAAGCGGCCCAAAAAGTGATGTTCCAAGCCACCAAAAAGGAAATATAGGCTAGGTCCTCCAGTACAGAGCTTAGAATTTTGGGTACCAACTTGTTTTTTTTCTGTAGTCTATTTTAGTCACGGACCCCTCCCCCAAGAACAGTGGCTAAAAGGGCACAAATTACAGGGGGACCTGGGAAATATCTCGGGAGCCCGGTTGGGAGGGCAGGTCTCACATGAGTTGACCCCGCTGACCGTCAGGACCCGGGCGCTGTGTGGTGCAGGTGCCCCCGGACTGGATGGTCTTGCCCTCCTTGCAGCTGTCGCTGGCCCCGTTCTGGATGCCCGTTGGCACGTCGCAGGGGTTCTCGGAGCACGTAAAGGTGGCCTCGGCCATGCCGCGCGTGGGCTAAAGTTGAACCACTCGAAGTCCGCGGGGTTTTGGTCCATGTTTACCAAGCTTCCATTTCGGGTACCTATGACCCACAGCCATCTCTCACTTCCGATCCAGAGGGCCCCAAAGGTCTAAGCCGGCGATTCTACCAAAATGGTAACCCAAGTCAACAGCCCCAGGAACTCGAGAAGTGAGACATGGGCCAAAGCGGCCTTGAGCTAGTTTGCTCTTGGGGTGACATCAGAATGGTTTTCCATAGCCCGTGACGTAACGAGGGTGGCCCCCAAACCCCCAAGGTTTTCCATAGCCGATGTAATAACCCCCCGAACCGATTTGGCTCATCTGAGTCTCCGGTGTCATAGTCCCCGCGAAGCACTTCAGCTCGGTGCCTGAGTGCTAGGTCCCATCATGGGACCTGGATTGGCTTGATAGGGCCAAAAGGAAACGACTCGCGGTGCTTCTCTCGGGATGCCCTTTGCTCTGGCTGCTGCTTCGCCCTGGAATTTCAAGGATATTGCAGGGAGGCGGCATGGCACCTGCTGCATGTGCGGAGAACATATATAGGATTTGGACTCGTGCCTGCATGTCGGACATGCCTGCCACTGCGGCGGGATCCTGATCAAAAGTGAATACCTTGAGCAACTTCAGCTATGCTGACAGGCTTGGCTTGGGGTGATGGTTGCCACATGCACATGCAATGTGCACGCGAATGTGCATGTATGAATGCATTCATTGTTTGGCTATTGTAGGAACCTAAGAACAGTTGTATATGTTTGTGGCTGGCAGGTTTTGATTGCATTTGGAAAGTGACTCAATATGAACATTCTCAAACAAAGTGTTTCCCGCACGTGTTATGTTATAAGTTGTAGGCAGCTCGATGCATGCATCGCATTTACAGGAAACTAGCCCTTGGTCAATAAATATGGTGCCTGTGTCCCATTTCAAACAGGATGATTTCACCCCCCTGGAGATTCCAATGCCGAGGAATTCCTAGGCGTTCTGGTTCTCAAGGCGTTTTAGGTGTTTTAGGCGTTTTGCGTTGTTTGCGCTTTTTGCGGGCGGTTGCCCCTTTTTTGCGGGCGTTTTGCGGCAATTTGCGGCGTTTCCTGTTTCTAGGCGTTTGCGGTAATTTGCGGGCGTTTGCGTCCAAAACAGGGTCAATGCCGAGAATGACTAGGAATTCCTTGACGTTTGAATCTCCAGGCCCTTTCAATTTACTTACCTGGGGTCACATCAGGCTTTGTCTTCACATGAAGCCCCAAAAAAAGGTGTGTTCTCACTTTCATTTGCATCCCACAAAAGGGGCATCAAACAACACACCCATACCCAATTGTTCAGTGATGTCCAGCAACCCAAGCAAAACAAGCTTGAATACAAAGAGACCACACAGAAGGAATCCGCTGAACCAATCTCCACCGGAAACTGCGCCCCAAGACAAACAGCGAACCGACGCGAAACAGCATGAAACTGTCACACAACGACTTCAATCAATCACACCAGGCATATTCACATCGATCAGCTTTGCTCTCATTGGTTTGGCGGTCTTCCAGGGGTGGTTTAACCCCTTCACCCTTTGCAAAAGAACTATGGGCTCAAACCCAAATCCGGTTCCCACCAATCCAAGCCACCAAGTTAGTGGGACGTGGGGAACATGGGAACCCCCTCCAATTCACCCATCCAAAGCACCACCCATCCAAACCACCCAGTTTGGTTGGACAAACGAACAAGCGGGGATTTGGAGGGAGCGGGGATATGGGGGGAATCCCTTGGCGCCATTTCTCATATCAAACTTGGTCTAGGTGCATCAAACGGGGGCATCCTCAACCGTATCCCTGCTAGTTGGTTTCCCTGATTTGGTGGTCACCGCTTCGCAATCACCCAAACCACTCATCCAAACCACCCACCCAGTTTGGTGCCAATACCACCCCCAAACCACCACGCATCCAAACCACTCACCTAATGGTGGTACCACTCACCCAACGGTGGTTACCGCTTAGCAATCGAGGCGCTGCTGGGTGTGTAGCCCGCGAGGCACTGGGCCGCGCAGCTCGCACCCGAGTTCACCACCGCGGGGTGGGGCAAGCCGCTGCAGCCGCTGCCCAGGCGATTGTTCACCAGCGGCAGCGGGCAGCCAATGGGCTCGCACTTGTAGGTGTGCGGGAAAAACCTAGAGAAGAATTTGCTAATGTTGGAACATGTGGAAACATGGCTTGTGTGAGGAATGCTTGACCAAAATGGCCCTTCTTGATTTTTTGGGAGATCATTTTTTAAGCCTGGCTCCAAACATTGGGGCCATGATGTAACTTTTCCCAGGTGAAAGTTATTTTTGTTGGGTAATTTCCCGCATAAAGCACCTTTTGATCAAGCCAAGTCTATGCGGGGCTTCGTTTTCTCCTATTTGCAGTTGTGTCTGTCTTTGCTGGGGAGGGCCAAACTGGATGGCCATGGTCCACAAATCGCCGAAATGGTTGGCAGGTCGGAATACTGGTCCAGCAGCGCACAAAATGGTTGCCCATGGTTGTGAAGGCTTCGGAGGCACCCGCAAACCAACATGGAACCCCCAAGAGCCATCATTCTCAGAGGAACCTCCTGCGCGGGGAGGCCCTTAAGGGTTTCATGTAACTTTTGCAGGGCAAACAGATCAGCTCTCGCCCAGCTTGCTGAGTTTGCTTTCTTTGGCGGATGATGCATGTGGGTTTCCAGGATGCAAAGCCGGAGGTACCTTTGAAAGCCATGCAACTGAGCCTTGCCAAAGAGGAAACCAGAGTGTCTGTTTGTAGGGGGGCCCAACAATTTGTGGCTTTCCAAAAACAACCGAACACAAGTTCCCCAAACAAAACGACAGACCCAAATGACAAGCTGGTGAATTACGTCAGGCTCTGTGGGACCTCCATGGTTCAAGGACATGCCGAATGCCAGCGTCTGTCGCTTTCTGCAGCAAAAGAGCTTTCCCAGCTTGCAGCTCAGGCTGGCATAATTGGGCATGTAGCCTGCCTTGCCTTGGCTAGATCACTGCCGAAGCTGAATCGCCCAGCCCGGGCCCGGCAACCCGGATCGGAAGGCAACTTCAGGCTGGACACCCTAGACTCGTGTTTTTTTTCCCGAAAGGCTTACTGCTGGCCAAGGATGTGGCCAAGTTGGGCCATTCCACACCTCAGCCTGCAAGCATTCCAGCACTGCTGCCGCGCCGCACTTCGTGGTGCAAGTCTTCTGCGATTCGATGGTGCCACCCTCCTTACAGGTGACCTAAGCACAGTCAAGACTCGCCAGGAAATCAGTGCCCGAGGTGTTCTGCTTCAATGCTGTCCGAAAGCCACACTGAAATCGTGTTAACAATGCATCTTGAGGCTCCCAGGTCTGAGCATGCTCTGGAAGCTGTGGCAACGAGATAGCGTCAAAACCAATGCTACCATTTTGGGGGAGGTGCACCACCCCCAAAATGCAACCATGTTGGTCTATTTTTGGGGGGATTGGGATGTTCACTGGGGGTACGGGCTTTTGACCCATGGACATGTCGCAGTGCGCAGGCACAGCGCAGCGATCAAACGAAGCATTCTCAGCATCTTGCCAACCAGTCCGAAGCACCACCCCCTTTCCCCACCAACCGAAGCAATCCGAAGACGCGGTTCACACGCTGTGGCTCAAACCCACATGGGTGTCTTTCGATGCCCGCAATGTACTACACTTACACCACCCAAAAAAGCATCATGACCCTCAAACAATGACAAACACCCATACTGAACAGGGATCCTTACATTATACACCTGAACATTGCGTTGTAAATGGTGGTTTCCCTGTATTTTGGTGTTGAAAAAGCCATGTTTCAAATGGTTGCAAAATGTATCTTTTAAGGAGCCCTGCTGAAATACTCCTAAAATCGCACAGGTTTGGATTTTTGAGTTCATCTCGCCTTAACCGCCACCTCCGGGCACAGGCCTCCGAATGCCACGCCCCGTCCGCCGTCCGCCCAAGGGCCTTGGGCGCGTTGGCGATGCCCCCGACGGCCGGGCAGGAGTCTTCGATGCAGCTGAAGCTGGCAGGCGTGAGAGTGCCTGCGAATTCGCGAATTCGCACTGTTGAAAATTTCCGATTCGAACTGAAAATTCGACCCGCTACAATCATTAACTCGGTTGCGAAGTCTGCTCTGCTAAAAGTGACTAACTTTTAGTGGTTGAACGGAAAACCCCTAAAAGTTGGCAAAAAGTGAAAGTCCGAACATACAAGCAAAATGCACCAAAGAAACATTACAGATCAAAAGGTATCTACCTGGGATGACCAAAAGGGGCAACCAAAAAGATGATAAGAAAAGCCACACGGGAAAAGTGACCCATGGTCATTTGGGGAGCAGGCGTATTGATCACCTCCTGCGGGAACCTCAGAGGTCGCTGTTTGGAAGGCAGGGCTCGGAACCCAATGCCGATGAATCAAATCAGCGGTGCCCGATGGTTCACTCACCCCTTGGGCCAATTCAACAGATGTCGCCTTTGAACCAAAAGCTCTGAGGGCTGGGAAGAGCTATGTGTGGATCAGCTAAGCCATGCTCGCCCTTTGCCTTGAACGAATTCTGCTCTTGTAAATCCCCCTGGAATGAGCAAGACGGCAGCCAGAAAATGGATTGCTGGATTGCTAGGTGATTCGGCATGCGTTGGGCTAGAGGGAAGAGACTCCGAGAACCAACCGTGGCAGTGCTCACCGGGCCATCTATGCACATATATATATATATATCAAAACATCAATACATATATTATATATATATATATATTAAAAATCGGCTTCCTAACCACCGAGAGCCCAGTGACACAAGACTAAGAGTGGCAGGATGCCTAGGCTTCACCACAATCAGCGGGCAAAAGGTGGTCCAAGCATGGCTGCCAGACACCCAGCAGCCCCAAACCCTTGACTCCATGGATCTTGATGGAGCCCTTCCCCAACCGCCAAAGTGGGGGGGATCCTCTAAAAGGGTACCAACTCCGGGCGGCCAAACCCACAACCATGTAAGGAAATACCAAGGCGGTCGCAACTATTTATGGCTGGGATTGTCCCTTACTAACCTTCATCTATCCGGGTTTTGATTGTGACTCATCTGGCGAACAACATCAGCCCATGGCCTGTGAGGCAGCTCAGGCTCTCCACCGACACGTGGTAGCCCTCCTTGCACTCGGTGCGGCATGTGTCTGTGGACTCGATGACGGTCCCATCCACTCGCCCCGGCACGCCGATGCAGCCGCTGCCCTCCTGGCATCGCAAAATTTCAAACACAGGCTCTTTCTTCAAATTGCCATAGGTCAAAATCCCGTTCCCCACTAAAATAGACTAAAATGGGTGGTGCACCTACCCCAAAATGGTAGCATTGGTTTTGACCCACAGCCAAATGGCCGAACAGATCAAGCGGGTGCTCGCACATTCGCAATGCTTCCAAACCCGGCCTGGTTCTTGGCGAAGGGGACGGGGCACGGATCCGGCAAGCACTCAAAGGTGCTGGGTGTCAAGGTCTCCGCATAGCAGGACAGCTTCTTCTTGGTGGGCGAATACCCGGGCTTGCAGGCTGCACGGCAGTCCTGGACAGCGCTAAGGCAAAACTAGTGCTGGCTGATACTTGGCGAGGCTGGGTAATATACGCGTCACATCTACCCATTTCTGTGCCTGCGCGAAACAAATTATCCACGCCGTCTTTTCATCGCGCCTTCCTCTAAAACTATTGATGCCTTCAGCCAGAGCTTCATCCATAGATGAAAGATTGCTAAGGGCCTTGTTGGAGGAAGTTGTCTGTGATCGAAAGGGACGCCAACAAAAACATAATTGCTTGAATGGGTCCCTACGTTGACGCGCAGCCATGTCCTTGCAACATGTTGCAGCAACCTTGGCCCACCTTGTCCTACCAACTAATGCAATGGCCAAGGCCAAGAACAACCACCTTGATCTTCCAAAATCCACGCAGCGAAAACGCCGTGCACTCTTTGCACAGCGATAAGCAGCAGCAGCAGCAGCAGCAGCAGCAGCAGCAGCAGCAGCAGCAGCAGCAGCAGCAGCAGCAGCCAAACAAAAGCAGCAGCAGAACGAACACCAGCAGAATAGCATCAGCGAGGCACCAGCAGCTGAAGACGCAAGCTAGTGGCTGCTGCAATTCTAGGGGTATCGTTTGGGCATCGCTTGGGTGAATCGCTTGGTGTGCTGATCTCCTGCTGCACGCTGTGTTCTACAGATTGTGTTACGAACGCGAGTGCATGCATGTCGTGTCGCCTGCATACCTAAGCACGCCTAAGTAACTGCTGGCCGGCTTGTGTGTGTGTGTGCGCGCGCATGTGGCGTGTAGTGTGTGGTGTGTGGCGTGTGTGCGAGAGAGAGAGTGTGTGTGTAAGTGTGTGGGAGTGTGGGTGTGTGGGTGTGTTGTGTGTTGTGTGTTGTGTGTTGTGTGTTGTGTGTTGTGTGTTGTGTGCTTGGTGTGTGTGTGTGGTGTGTGGTTGGTGTGTGTTGTGTGGTTGGTGTGTGTTGTGTGGTTGGTGTTTGTTTTTTGTGGTTGGTGTGTGTGTGTGTTGTGTGGTTGGTGTGTGTGTGTTGTGTGGTTAGTGTGTGTGTGGGGTGTGTGGTTGGTGTGTTTTTTGTGGTTGGTGTGTGTGTTGTGGTTGGTGTGTGCGTGTTGTGTGGTTGGTGTGTGTGTGTGTGTGTTGTGTGGTTGGTGTGTGTGTGTGTTGTGTGGTTGGTGCGTGTGTGTGTGTTGTGTGGTTGGTGTGTGTTGTGTGGTTGGTGTGTGTGTGTGTGTTGGTGTGTGTTGTGTGGTTGGTGTGTGTTGTGGGGTTGGTGTGTGTTGTGGGGTTGGTGTGTGTTGTGTGTTTGGTGTGTGTTGTGTGGTTGGTGTGTGTTGTGTGTTTGGTGTGTGTTGTGTGGTTGGTGTGTGTGTGGTGTGTAGTTGGTGTGTGTTTTTGTGTGGTTGGTGTGTGTGTGTGTTGTGTGGTTGGTGTGTGCGTGTTGTGTGGTTGGTGTGTGTGTGTGTGTTGTGTGGTTGGTGTGTGTGTGTGTTATGTGGTTGGTGTGTGTGTGTGTGTTTTGTGGTTGGTGTGTGTGTGTGTGTGTGTCGTGTGGCTGGTGTGTGTGTATTGTGTGGTTGGTGTGTGTGTGTTGTGTGGTTGGTGTGTGTGTGTTGTGTGGTTGGTGTGTGTGCGTTTGTGTTGTGTGGTTGGTGTGTGTGTGTGTGTGTCTGTGTGTTGTGTGGTTGGATTGTGTGTGTGTCTGTTGTGTGGTTGGTGTGTGTTGTGTGGTTGGTGTGTGTGTGTGTGTGTTGTGCGGTTGGTGTGTGTGTTGTGTGGTTGGTGTGTGTTGTGTGGTTAGTGTGTGCGTGTGTGGCGTGTGGTTGGTGTGTTTTTTGTGGTTGGTGTGTGTGTGTGTGTGTTGTGGTTGGTGTGTGCCTGTTGTGTGGTTGGTGTGTGTGTGTTGTGTGGTTGGTGTGTGTGTGTGTTGTGTGGTTGGTGTGTGTGTGTTGTGTGGTTGGTGTGTGTTGTGTGGTTGGTGTGTGTGTGTGTTGTGTGGTTGATGTGTGTTGTGTGGTTGGTGTGTTGTGTGGTTGGTGTGTGTTGTGGGGTGGGTGTGTGTTGTGGGGTTGGTGTGTGTCGTGTGGTTGGTGTGTGTTGTGTGGTTGGTGTGTGTGTGTGTGTTTTGTGTGTTTTTGTTTTTTATGTTGTTTTTGTGTGTGTGTGTGTGTGTCTGCGTCCGTGTCCGTGTCCGTGTCCGTGTCTCTGTTCGTGTCTGTGTCCTGGGTCCTGTGTCTGTGTCTGTATTGTATGCTGTACGTTTGCGTGCGCGCGTTGGGGTTTGGTCAAAATTGTGTGTTTAGACGTCGCGTGTCGCTTAAAAGTCGCAAAAAGCACTTAATCATCATGCAAAATGACACATGCAGGCATATTTGAAGCCAGCTCATATGTATCCATTCCAGTCGGGAAAAGTGCCCACGATCAGTTCATGCAATGACCAAGCTACGAAGGATCAACTGGCTCACGTGCATCACGTTCCCCGACTGCTCCGATGGTTTTGGCTCTGTCTTTGCCATACATTTGTTTTCATGGATTGCCGACTGCCCGTTCCTTGCCAGACTCCACCTTCGCGCCCCGGATGCCAGAACATCCGTTGCCAGCGCTGAATTCGATTTGAGGAATCACGCAAGGATTCGGAATGCACAGGAAGGTCGCCTTGGCTGTAGAACTTGCAGTCAGCCAATGCTTCGAGCAAAAGTGAACACACACACACATGGTGAGCCCTGGTGAAGTGACAGTTGTGACTAGTTGGTCAACCAAATCCTTAGCTTTGGTGCGAGCAGCAGAAAACCTTCTGCAACAGCGGAACCCCTGGAGTTGAACCCTGATGCTCGGCGTCGGGTGTCACAAGTCCATGAATGCAAAGAGGAGTCACTCGCTTCAGGCCATCCTGGCTGTACGCACTGATCCCGAGTTCATAAGCACCTGGCCCTTTTGCCCCTCACATGCCCCAGCCATATGCAAAAAAGGTACAAAGGCATGCATAGGTATGTGGGGCACCTGACTCCTTCGCCCCGTTTGCCAAGGAGCTGGGGACAGCGTTGCCGCGTCACACGCCAGCGAGGCAACTGATGGGGTGTAGCCCGCCTCAGATCTCCCTCCAAGCCCGGTGGTTTGGTGGTGTTCCTCTAAGAAGGGGTTCATATCCCAAACCAGCAATCCAGACCACCAGTAAGGGGGGACCTGATCAGAGACTTCCCGCGGCGTTTGAAGGACCATTCAAGGAGAGACTGGTGAAGAACTTGCGCTGTGCATGTTGTGCCCATTGGAAAGGACAAATGTGCACTAGGTTGGGAGCCCTGTTCACAGGGGCCCTGTTCAGCAAATGCGCCCAGTGCAGAAACATATGAACACATGCACCTTCATGCAGGATAAGCCCAAGAAAGATTCGACAACATGCAGCTTCATGCAAACAACTCCCAAAGCATTCGTCAACATTCAACAGAACTCGGTAACATTCAACAAAACCCAGGACCCATCAATCAAAGGCAGCCACAGTAGACCCAACCCCAACGCTGCCAGGAGAGGCAAGCACTATCCCTGCTCCCAACTTGCTGGCACCTGCACTCACTTCTTAGAAACAGTTCCCCAGCCAAACTTGTTTGAGTAAGTGTGTTGGGATTCCCTCAGCGTGGGCCATGGGCAAAACAGCTCATTGCCACTCTGCAGGAGGCTCTTGATCAGGCCACACAGACGGCAAATGGAACGCCAGTTGCAGCCGTTCTTCATTCAAACAGATTCAGCAGCATTCAGAAGCATTCAAGATATACCTTAAGTTTCAAAAACATGCATCATCTAAGTCTAAGCCCCAAATTCAAGTGTGCTCTTGGGGGTGTGTTTATTGAGCTCCCAAAGGAAGTTTAGAAGGAACTTCCGTGGCGCGGACGCCAGGTGGCTGGATATGCCCCCTTTTGAGGGTCTTCTTACCCATGCTTACTGGCCACGGGCAGCTTGGGCATAGATGATTGGCAAAGGTACCCCTAAGAAAGCAAACAACCCGTGTATCCCAAGGGGTTCATTCTTCAAAAGTTTCAAACTCAATATGGTTATCAAGTCCCATCACTGGGACTGACTGCGTGCAACCCATTGTCCTTGTACATATTGTAGGATTTGCACAAACATTTTGTTGCATCAGACTCAAAGCCCTAGACCCCCTCCAGGCACGACCCCTATTCCTGAAGATAGTGGCAGTATGGTATTTCAAACCGCCCTGTTTAGGCAACCCCTGGAAAAATATAGGAAACCGAATCACGATCAAATCACCAAAAGCCCACATCCATCACAATCCAAAAAGTGAGAGCTGCATTCCACAGCCTATGTGGACCTCTCAGCGGCAAGCGATGAATGAAGCTTCCAAACCAATGCCGCAGTCATGTACTTTCTACCGGGTTTCAAAGCATATCCCTATTGCCACTTGCCTGAGCTCCCGCCCGACGTATAGGCTTTTGGGCCCCGACTTCATAACACTCGACTGAATGCTATGTGGAACCACAGAAGGCAATGACCCGGATGAACCAGGATATGATAGGCCGCTATGCATCTCCAGAAGGAAATGATGTGACAGCCGCTTGACACTGCCATTGCTTCCAAGTAGCTGCGCACGCAGCTGTGCAAGATGTCCTGCGCACACCACAGAAAGTTTTAGTGGCTCAAAGCAAACATAAAGAGCGCTCAGGGAGTGACGGCGAACGCCCCCTAGCTGCTTCAACAAACCGTAGCACTGTACCACCAACACACCACTAGGCTGCTTCACTTTGCGTGGGCTAAATGGAAACACCCACTAAGCCCTACAAAGCTAAAGAGGCTAAGGGACCGGACTGGGAGCCACCAAGAGAGGGTGGAGAGGGTGGAGTTGAAACAGGCTGGCCGGAAGAGGCGTTCGGTTGCTTTGCCGAGCTGCCCTGACGTGATGACATCGCCCTCCTGGCACGGGCCTTTCTTGTGGGCGAACTCAACCTCCGAGAAGCTCGGCTCGACATGACTGAGACTTGCGCATGCAGAAGGACCGATACACCTCCCTGTGATTGGCTTGAGCCCGCAACAAAAAAACAACGAAAAACGATAGTGGACAAAAGCGGCATGGAAAACCTCCCCAAGTGGTCCCAGTCGTCATTTGCTAGTATGGTGGGTTCATTGGTTAGCGACCTGCAGTGGTAACTGCGTTCACCTGGGCCGCCCCCAAGCACTGCTGCCGATGGAAAAAACATGTTTCCTTTTTTCGCAATTTGCCTACACCGCAAGCGCCGGCCTGGGGCCGTTTGCATGTCTTCATCACTTCCATTAGCTGAAGTCAATATATTCAATTTACCTTTTTGGTTTATCACTACTGGACATATGTTCTTTGTGCATGCTTTTTTCCAGGGGCTGAAGCAACTAGAGGATCATTTGTGAGCCCGGATAAATGAAACTTGGTTTATTCATATGGGGGTGTTCCCCTCCAAAAGCGATAAATCTCCACTACAGCCAGTTGGACAACCCCATACTGTGGATTCACGAAATCCTGCACCACTTTGAAACCATGGGAAACCATTGTTTCTTGGAATTTACAGGGCAAACGTCATTCCAGGGTTTCTTCGTTCGAAATGGATTTCGCAACCATCCGAATTACTCAACCGGATCCTATTAAAAAATCCCCGGCGCCCGATCCGCCCATCACCGAGGTGCCCCCGTGGGCGCGCTGCAGGGGTCCGGGGTGCATGCCACCGAGGCCGGGGAAAAGACCGCGTCGCGGCAGCTCCTCGGTTCAACTCGCCAAGCGAAGCCATGGCTTGGTTGACGTGTTGACGCTGGCTTCCATTTGCTTAAGACCCCTGGAGAAAAAAAACATATTTCCAGTAGTGACAAGTTCCTTTTAAAACCAACAAGGGGAAATAACACTTATTCTCAAGCAAATGGAAGTTGGAAGGGGAGCAAAAATTGAATACATTTAGCAAAACAACGACCATGATGGAATCCATGTTTTTCGAGGTTCTTGGAAGACCAGTTTCCTTCTACCATGGAATCTAAGTATATCTGAATGGAGGTTCTTAATTGAAGATCAGTCTCCTTACCACCATGACATCCATTTATGGAGGTTCTTGGATATCAGGTTCCTTCTACAGGGGCTTGATGGTGTGCTGCGTATCGGTGGGAGGACGATGGATGAAAAATGGTGAAATTAACTGCAATCGCCGGGTGACCGTCGCCCTTTTGCTCGGGGTTTCGCCTGCTATCACTGCATGTATGTAACGATGCATATTCACTGACGAAGTGAAACAACCTCTGATGACAAGCCAGTTCTATTACCCACTGCTTTTTGAAACGAGAACATGCCTGTGCGCAGCCCAAATGCAACATGACCAATGACTTGCTCCCGGTGGGGTTTGCACTATTTTCAGTTGAAGCCGTGACCCAGAGAAAGCGAGAGAGAGAGAGAGAGAAAGCGAGAGAGCGAGAGAGAGAGAGAGGGGGAGGCAGGGAGAGAGAGAGAGAGAGGGGCGGGAAAGCGACAAACAAGCCAAAACAGGAACTCACGACAAGTATCGATGAGCTGTACTGAACACTGCCATACCATTGCTACCTAAGCTGCACAAGGCAGCATTGAACCCTGGGAGTCTGACTAGTTCCTAACCTGTTTGGCCCAGCGTCATTGACGCCACCGAGGGTGTGTAGCCTGCTGCGCACTGCGTGGTACAGCTCGTGAAGGGCAGGATCTTGTCGCCGCCCTAGCGGACGAAAGCTTACCGCTCAGGTTTGCTTCACCTGTCAACCAATTGCGCTGCGTGTTGCAAATCTCAGTTTACATCTTTGCAAGGATTCGAACCAAGTTTGCAAGGATAATCTCATGCCATGAGCGCAGTTCCAGCGCCGTCAAGATTCCAATGCAGCAATGCTTGCTGCTTCTAGGCAGCATCTCTATGATATAGAACTGAGATTCTGCTCCATCCCCCTCCCCGACCGAGAGGGTGCACGATATTTTTAGGAAAACGGACTGTCTCAGAAGCCCTGTGATAGCACCCTGCACCTGCGACAAGTGCATGAGCCCGATGCACAAATGCAGTTCACAAGTTCAACGCACTTTTGAAGGTCATGGATGTTCTCCGAGAAATGTCCGTTCCGTTGGGGCTTTCCTGAGATGGAACCCTGAGGGGAAGCGACTTGCCGTGCCCCTGAACCATTGAAAACAACATGATTCACCCAAAGCAGCTCACTTCCTGAGTGGATGGCCGAAAAACAGTCGCACTAAAATGGTCCAAACCCAAAAAGTGACTCAAGTCCATGAACTCGACCGGAAGTGCAATCTGTGCCCAAAAAACAAAAAAACATAGGCGCCCTGTCCGGCCTCCTTGCAGACCCCGGTGCCCGGCGCGTTCTCCACATTTGGCACCGGACAGGGCGCTTCGCAGGTAAAGCTCGGTGGGGTGAGCCTCGGCTCGTCGCTTCGCTGGGCTGCGCCAGCTCCGTGCCCCATGGCGGAGTCGATGGGCAGGGAAAGAGGGAGTGGAACCCCATCCAGCTGGTGGTTTTCTGCATCCATCCAACTGGTGGTCAGGGCATGAGGGAATGACCAAATAAACCATCCAACTGGTGGTTTCCAGTAAGGGAATCCCCTGGTTCATTCATCCACAGGTTTCCATTGGGTCATTGCCTGGCAACAAGGGAATACTCGGGCACGGATTTCGTGCTTGGCATCCTAGGGTTGAGATATGACCTATGTGCATAAATAAGTCCCACAAGTGGTTGACTCTGCTTTTATTTGAGGTTGGAACCCGGGGTGCTTGGGCCAAACTAGCACAGCTACCCTTGCGGCTCTTATGACAACCTAGGATGACCAACTACCGAATTGGGAGGTTCCCATCAGAAAAACCAGGCCCTTTGTTAAGTTGAAAAGATGGAGTGCCTCACTCGTGCCGGATAGCTTTGAATACGTTTCCCAACATGGGGCAGTGTGGGGTACCTCTCTCGGAGCCGCGGACGGAACTTACTCAAGTGGGTTGAACCAGCCAAAGCACCGACCGAAGAAAAAACAGGCCCAACGGTGTGATTGCAACCTTTCTACTTGACCGCTTGGGGATGCACGCGTTCTGTAAATCAACCGTTCGGTCTTTGACTCCCTGCACTTGTTTTGGTGGCCGGCTGATGGGGGAAGTGTAACTCCAACAAATTCAATCGGTTGAAGCCGATTCAAGATAAAACCAGAAAGCCGAGAAAGCTGTGACTTGTGACCTGGAAAGCCCTTGCATCTGGAACAACGGGCTGCAGTTCTTGCGTCCGGGTAATCCATGAATGTTGAAAAATATGTCAATTGCCACATGCCACGTGTGCTATGGCCAGCTTGTGGTTCCCTCCAGGTTAAGAGCTGTCCCCGGTCACATAACGACTACCATTAACAATAATATAGTCAGAACACCATGCTGTCTGGCATCGGATGCTTCCAACATCTTACCATGCAAACGGCCCAACCGGGCCGTCGCTAAGACGGCCATTGCAATGGGAACCTCACGGCGAATAACACTGACGGGAGACGTCTCGGCATAGCAGCGCAACACGTCGTCCGACTTGTAGAAGCCTTCCTGTCAAAGGCGCCCCAACAAGGTCTGCCTTTAAGCTTACGGGTGTTCTAACACAGCTGGGAATTCATCTCCCAAAGTGGGAAGTGACCTTTAGCGCCCAAAGGGGTCCACGGGAAACGATTTCCTCTAAGCCCTGGCCTTCGGCAAGACATGACCAAAGGTATAGCAGGACTGGAAGCCCTACTTGGGAGACAGCCAAATTATAGGGTCGCGTTGCAAGTGCAGCTGACCTGAGCAACCCAAAGTCCTGAACGTGCTTGTGGGCCTCCAAATCTCAAGCCCCTAGCTGTGCTTCTGGACAAAATGATGGCGTTTAGTGCATGTTTGAAACGGACTGAAGCAGACAAACTGAGGGCAATGGTAAATGTTCAAGTGCTTGAAGCTGCCTGAAACATGTGAACCACCATTTTCAACCAGCCTTTTGGCTTCAGAGGCTGTGCCGGGCGCCATTGGCAGCTTCTCAACCCAGCTGAAAACAGCAATGGTGGATGTTGAATGCTTGAAACTGACTGAAACACACGTGGACGCCATTTTTCAGCCGACCTGAAAACTGGTTTTGGACGTCTCTGGCAACTGCAGGCACGGAGGTCTCCGGCCTGGCACTGCACGGTGCAGGTCAGCCCGGACTCGATCACGGCGACCCCGCTCTCCGGGCCCTCCTGACACTTGTCAAGGACGAGGGTCACGAGGACCGTCCCTCACGCCCCAATAACTCCCCAACAAGTCCCCCCACCCACCCACCCCCCCGGGGAAACCAGCTGCGGCCAGTGGATCCCAGTTACCCCTACAGGTAACCAGCAGCCGTTTCCTTTTGGTTTCTACAGGCGGGACGAAAAGAGTCTTGCCGAAAAGCCCCGTGGGAACTGGAGAGAAAAGGAAAGTCCCCACTTGCAAATCAACCTGGCCGTGTGAACCGAAACTGACCTCAAGTTGTTTGAAAATACGTGCATGCTAACATCATTGTGTGTTCCTGTCTGCAAGGAGCCCTCGCAATGTGCTTGTTTCGCTTTTGGTTTCCCATCTGACACTCGAAAGTGCCAAGAAGGTTACTCGGCATTTTGAGAACTTTCAGCATGGCTGGACCGGCACGCTGCCCGAGCCTTGCAGCCGCTGAGCAAGGCGTTCTCTACGCTCTTCACGGTGCAAGGGTTGGCGGTGCAGGAAAATGACTTCCTGAGCTGGATCCTTTATCGTATGCACCTCTCCACAGGCTTCGCGCCCAGCACGTGTGGGACCAGTGGGAAGCTGGAAAAATGGCGCGGCACAAAGGTAAGATGTCTAAGAAGCCACCTCCCAACTCGTTCAGACAGGGCTTGCTGGAACCACGGTCTCCACATATTTACCAATTGGTGTGAAGTGTCAGCTTTCGGTCCCCAGGTTCCTTGCACCAGTGCTGGTGGTGCTGAACACCCTTTGGTCCAACTAAAAGCGAGGTTCCTTGAAGTGGGGTCCGCGTGATCAGGAAAAATTGCACAATCCCCTTGGACAATGACCCCTGCAATGGTTCAAACATGGAGGATGTCAACATGAGGGACACTCGAATCAGGTGGTTTTGGAGGGGCCTTGGCCCAAATTTCACACAGACATTCACACACCAAAAAGTACACACTTACCTCACCCTGAAAATTGCAGCAAGCTCGGCACAGTGAGCGGGGGGGGGGTTGTAACCACGACCAAAACTTGATTTTGCTACCATGACAAGTTGCAATGTTACAGTCCTTCCTACACAGTGAGCATATGACTTTTCGGAATTTGCACTGACGCAATCATAATATCACGGTACTGAAGCTAAGGGGGGCAGCAGGGCTTGCCAAGCAAGAATGGTAACATTAGCTGTTCGCATAACGTGAACGAAGCCTTGGCTGCTTCAAAGTGCTTCAAGTCACCCTGGGGCCCAAAATGGCCCAAATCACCTGCCGAGGCCTTATGCCAGCTACCTTCCCTCTCCGGATAAGAGGCGGTTCAAAGGTTCCGCCCTCCTGGCACATCAGCTTTTCCACGGAGGGGGAGAAGCCTGGCAAGGCCAGGCGCGTGAAGTCTCACAGCCGGGCGCCATCCAGCGCCGTGTATGTGTGCGGCGTGTGAGAAGCGTGTGGGTGTGACATAGGGCTGGCCTGCAGCGCCAAACGCACTTGTCTTACAACCCTGGCAGCAACATCCGCAAGCCGAGTGCCTCTTACATGTTCCACTTGTGGCGTGCCGTTGATGCAAACCAACTCTAGCGAGTCTAGCGCACCCGCATCTTTCAACCTCGAAATCCAACCAAGTGGTTTCAGCTCGGACCCTCAAAAATCCAACCTAAAAGTAGGTTATTGCCCCAAAAATATGGGGAAGTCCCTTTTGGCAAGGGTAGTTCTTTGGGGTTCGGGTACTTGAGCCGGGGCTGTGGGCCTATCAATCCGAAGCGCCGCAGGTTTTTCAGGACCTGCCTTGCAGGCACTGCGTGATGCACTCTGCGCCCGGGCGCGTCATCACGGTCTTGCAAGTGCCGTTGCCGCCGCCCTTGTACACATCCGGGGCCTGGGTACGATTTGAGAGCCGGACACCCGCAAAAAATCGGGGAGAATAACCAGACTTGCAGTTTGCCAAACCAACTGGGCAATGGCACATGAAGACTCAGATGACTGAAGTGGATCAGATGTGCTTCTTCCAGCTGCGGATTCTATACTTGAGCCAACAAGGGAAACTTGTGAGCCCAAGAAGGGTAACCAACGGTGGATCAGAAATTCCCTGACCAACCCCTGATAGTTTCCATGACGCCTGCTTGGACCGTCCGCCGACTGGACGCCTGTCGCCTTCGTCTCAGGCTCCGGCGCGGCACTGCTTCTCCCCTAAGCTCTCCGGGGGGTTCTGCACGCCGCAGGTGGACCTCCGACCGCAGGTGCGGTCGTCGTTCAGGCCGCACTCATAGCCTTGGCCGGTGGAAATTCTCCTTAAGGGTACCTTCCAATTCCATTCTTTCCAGGGATCCTTCTTTCTAGAAAACCTCCGGAAATCAAGCGGAAGCGGCTGATTGTGAAAAGAACGATGGTTGAAAAGAATGGGGAATCAGCCCCTAGATTTATCCCCCCTATCATAAGGGGAGGGGGGTGAAAAAGCCGATTCCGATTCCATTTCGCCTGCCCATAAAAGGGAAACGGCACCACGAATGCAATTCCAGGGGCCCTTCCCCAATTCCCTATGTAAGGGTGGGGGTCTTCCTTTTACCCGGTGTGCATGCGAAACCAATGGGGCCAAACCCGGACCCAGAAAGTCGCACCTGCCTGACAAAAAATCCCAATAGTGTTGATCACTTGGGGAAGCCTTTTCTTCAGCAGGTCCATATCAGCATCCGACTTTCTGGCTCCAAGCCCGGCCAGTTTGATAAATTAGCATGCTGGCACTCTAAATAATACACATATGCGACACAGAAATGCTTCGACTATGGATGACACGTGTGTCTCTCTCTCTCTCTCTGTGTCTGTGTGTCTGTGTGCGTGTTCTTCATGCTTGTGCACTCACATGTGCCTGCATGTACCTACACCCTACACCTTTGTCCAGCCAGAAGAGCCTAGTTCGTGGGCGCATATATTTGGTGCAAGGACCAGGTCAACTACCTAAGCCATTGGCCTGCCAGGTAAAGCACGCATATGGTATGTGCTTGCAAGTGCCTGGGTTTTGTTTGTGTACGTTGTGTGTCTGTGTGCGTTTGAGCTTGAGTGTGGTGCACTTCTGTTTAGCTGTCGGCTTGAGTCTTTGCACGCTTGTCTCTCTGTCTGTTGGCCATGGCCGGACTGACTTTTTGGTAGATTCTGCAGTGAACGTAATGTTCCGCCTGTGGTGCGTGTGCCGGCTTGACCTCCATTGGGCTACATGTGCTTCGTGCCACCACTTCTCTTCTAGTAATTAAGCGTTGCACTCCTTGTATGAAACAACAGCTTTCTGCTTCTACTGTAATCGTTTCCCAGTGCTTTCCATGCACATACTGAAACAATGAATGTCAAGCTGCAGAGCTTCCGGAAAAAAAAATCCGACAAGGAAAGTTCAAGGGGGTAGATGCCCAGCACTTCTGCGTCAAAGCAGCCGAGACCATTGTTCTGATAGTCCGGATCTGCGACCTGAGATGCACAAATCACAAAGCTCCATTCTGAGTTATCGATTGTCCTGCTAGAAATCATTGGTCAGATGCGTCTGGATTTGGCGGTGAGCTTCGGATTTCCTGTATGTCTCCGTTGGGCCGCGCTCAAAGATTTCAAAATCTCAGGCGAAAAACAGGATCATTTGCAGCCAGCACTGCTTAGGACACCTCTTTGCTCATGATCTCCGGCGGGTCCTTTTGCCAGTCTGGCAACGCATACCTATAGGAAACCTACACATCTCGGGGGCGAACACGAGCAAACATGTTCCCAACAGTGCAAAACGGACTAGCCTATTGGCCTGTTGTCAAGGACCAGAGTCTGAAATGGCCACAGGCAACTTTCCATGCGGTCAATGGAAAGCGCCTGAGTTGCTTCCGAGCCGCGTAGAAGCCGTTGCACTTGTCCGCTGCCAGGTCGGTACATTTTGGGAGCCCCTTGGAGCCGTCGCCCCGCTCCTGACGTAAGCTTGGCATGGTATCAGTTTTCATTTGATGCAGCCTCAGCATTGCTGGGAAAAATGCTGTGGGAGGTTGGGGATCATTTCTTCTCTGAACTCATCAACCTAATCCATCGAAAGAGGTGAGTGCAAAGCTTCAATCGTGGTCTTGGTGTGATTCTACATGGCAGCTTGAGACTCAGTCTCTGCGACCAAAAGACTGCAGAATGGGAATGGGTGCACCTGGCTGCGAAACCAACAAACAAAAAACTGGCCTCCGCAAACACGCCGGTGCAGCGGAGCAGGCAGTCGGCCTGAGTAGAAGGTGTGATTTCGAAATCTGGCGGTGTCAAACACTTAGCTCAGGTGGGACTGATCAGATTCCTGTCTGAAAACAGCAGCACCAGCAGAACCAACCAAGTAGTCAAGGAAGTCCCGGTGAATGCATTCCCATCTGACAAACAGGTGCTGAAGTGCTGCGAGGCACTCCAGATTCGCACTTCGCCGGGTTCTCTTTGTTGGGCAAGCAGATCTGGGCAGGCGCGTCACATCATGAAACGAGTGTGGTTTGATGGCCTCCGCTGGCCTTAAGCCTGCCAGCTTCCAGAATTGCTCATGGACACTTGCGAAGTGGAAGGACTCAGCCGAAACCAATGCTTGTGGTTCTGGTTGAAGTTGGCAGTGCTTCTCCTCGTTTCGATCCCTTGTTGCACGCAGTGTTCCAAATGAGTCGTACGGTTTGGGAGGGAGCGCGGAGTTCGGTCTGGGGCATGTGGCCATGCATATTGCGTTAAACTCTGGCAACAAATACTCTACTCTACTGCATAGATTTGGAAAAAATGGGGGGGATCCAAGGAGATTTGACCATGATTGCAGGTCCGCTCAGGACAACAACATATTCATGCATTTGTTGTTTTTAAGCTCCCCTTGTAGCACTCACACAGGTTTGCAACAGGTCAACGATGGCTGGGAGCTTTCTAAATTGTATGTGATGACAGGTCAACATACCGACCACATACCGATAAGGACCGATAAGTATACGTCAGCTTGTGCTTTGCTTGGCAGAACAGGCAGTGTTTACCAAGTGCATCACGTCTGCCTCAAAGCGATGCTTTCCGGAAGTGCCATCCTACGCACAAACCAACCTGAAGCCATGAGCCTCCGGGCCCGGAATTTGAAGCTTATCCAGTGGGAGCGCTTCAGGTTTCAGCACTCTGATTGGTGGTTTGGATTGCAGGAGCCTCCCAGTTCTCCAAGCCAGGGCTTCAAACCCCCAGTTCCAAACCACCCGGGTTTCCAGCAGGTTTCATGAAAACCTCCGTTCCCACCAATCCAAATCATCAGCTAGGGGTCTCGTGTTTGGACGTGAGAAACAATCGCTTCGGGCCTTAAAGGTGTCTCCACTGCACCCGTGGTAGCCCCCAGCGCTGCAGTTCTGAAGCGAGGAGCAGGGGTCTACACCTCAGCTCTACACCCAGCCGCAAGAGAAAAAGAAGCATCGACATTCAAACAAATAATGCACCAAGCCATTCAGAGAAAACAACGCATCCACCTTGCAAAGCTTTTATATTCCATTTTATGCCTTGCTACATTCCATTGGCCGATTGGGGTGGGATCGAAGGAATATCCCGCTCATGGCTTGCGAGGCTGCTGTGACTCTACTATGTGAAGATTGCCTCCCGCCGTGAATGCAGGGTGCTGACAAGGTGCTTGCATCAGATGGGCACCTTAGTGCGTAGCTCCGATTCCTGCCTGATTGGTGTTCAGGCTGGTGTCAAGTTACGCGCCTGCACACCACTCATAGTGCAATCAACTGGTACCCAGCGCTTGCTTCATGAGAATCAGCTCAAAACATACACGTTACCAGAACAAGGCGCCGCATCAGTTCAAGCAAACACAGTATATCCAGAAAAGCGCAACGTGTGCGCGTTTCACTGTATGACATGTGTATGTGCGCGTGCGTATGTATGTATGTATGCATTCATGCATGCAGGTATGTATGCAGGTAAGAACGTATGAGTGTATGCGAGGCTGTGCGCCGTGCGCGAGTCACGCAGCCTCTTGTCCCCAGGTGCCACTGCCAAAATAATGAAATAATGCGACCGGGCCGCGCTAGCCTCGGAAAGCAGTGGCGTGGCATTCCAGCTGATGTACAAAAGATGCACTCTAAAAATTAAGGAGGTCACCCATGAGGCGCTTTTTCACAAAGGGCTTCTCTCTTGAAGCTAAATGGAGGTTGCCTCCCAAACTCCCTCGGCAATCTCCATCTTTAGACCTGTGCCTGTCAATCTGCAGACCCTCCATCCACAAACGGCCCGTTCTGCGGAACAGTGGCTTGCTACCATCGCAGGTGGCTGGGCCGGTGGGATACTGCGGCAGATATCTCGACCTCAGCTTCCAGGTGTGAATGAAGAGTTGGCTTGATGCATGCCCTCAGATCCGTTGGCAAATATGGCAAATCAAAGAAGACCCGCAAGCCGGCCACTCTTGGCCGGGTGCTCTGCTGCCCCTCACTTGAGATCAAAATATCCAAGCGGCCATAAAACCTTTCGACGTGTGCCGCTCTTGTTGGAATCTGCAACTAGGTTTTTTAGTAGAGAGGCTACAATAAGGGTACCCTTTTCTGTACGTAGTCTATTTTAGTAGGGGAACCCTCCCCCCAAAAAGGGTAAACGAGTACTACTGGGGGACCTAGGCAACAAAGCTTTGCTGCCCCAGTGCGCATCTTGGGGGGGTGTATGGTGGATGGCTTGACCATTCTTCACTCCTGCGTTCCCGGATCCGGCATCTCTGACCAAGCGGCCGCAGTCGCGCCTCCTGAGACACGTGCAACTGACTCAAAGCCGTGACCCTCTTCCGATGATCCGAATCTTCACGACAAAAATTGGCATTTCAGCCCATCTGGCTGGCAGGTGGTCACTTTTCAATCGGATAAGGATCTTCCCCAAACAAGCATGGAAGGGGGTGTGTTCCTCACACCGTGATGCAGAGTGCCCTCCAACACAAAAAATGACCATAACGAGTCCCTGAGCCTGCAATACTTCTCCCGTCTCCCGCTGGCCATTGCCAGTGTCTCTTGCGCACAAGCAATTGGCAAATCTGCTCAGCCAAGTTGCGGCCAAAGATGCCGCCTTAGGCAACAGGCGCACTCATCATTAGTCAAACCGTCTGCAAGATGTTGTGCCTTTTTGCGCTTAAGCGACTTCTTCATGGGGAACATAAGGGACAGGGTCAGCCGGCTTCCAAAGCACATGAGCGGACAAATTGCGACTACAAGATCCCCGAAACTAGCAACACACATGAGTGTCACTTGGATGCTGGTGGGACCTAAGCAAACTAAGCTACACAGTAAGAGAGGCCAAGGAAGGGAGAGAAAGGAAGTTCACAGGGACGAACCCGGGTTGCATCGAAGCTTGCAGACCTGGCTGGCGCACGGCTTTCACTGAAGCCGAGCCGCAAAGACACCCTCCGACCGGTGCTCCTGAAAGGACAATGAATGCCAATGAATGCCAATGCCTCAAGGCCTTGGATCGCACACATACGCCAAAACAACCCCTGGGGTCGGCGGGTCGACCCAACTCACACCTTGAAGAACCTGGGGACCTCACAAGTCTTGCACAGCTCGCAGCTGCAACGAGCCAAAGAGGAATCCAGAGCAGTCAACTGTGCTCACTTGACATGTTTGCCTCGCCTGGCAGCCTTCCAGGTTTTCCAAGGTACAATTCATCAGTGGACAGAAACAGGTGCGACACACATCCCTCTGCAAACGCTTCAACACATCTGCAAGCGCAAACTTGTGTCGCCTGGCTTCCTTTGGACACCTCAATGTGCCAGTTCTGTTTAAATATAAATTTCGGTTTCGGACTTCGTGATTAGAGTGGGGACCAGTTATCGAATGCATATTTTATTGTTTGCTTCACTCTGAGTCACAGGCAAAATGTAAAACATGTATCCCAAGTCCACCCCAGACCTGGATGAAGAAAAAAAACAACGACGAACCAACCAATCCCGGGCGGTCCTTGCGCAGCAGCTGCCGCTTCGGGGAGTTTCCGGCACTGTCCACCTCACACGCCCCAAGCTGAAAAACCACCTGGTGCGATAGGTAGGGGATGAGTTGAACCTGGGAATTGGTCTACGGATCGAGGAAACCACCAGTTGGCTGGTTTTTCTTGGGGACACTCCATGTCTCATTCCCTGCATCTCTCGCGCCAGGACTAGCCCCAAGTTCCCTGACCCAAGCCATCGCCGGACCCTTGGGCTCAACTCATCCGAAAGCAACAGGCCTCCACAATGACGTGATGTTGGGTGATCTCTCGGTCGATGCTTTCATGGATCGTTGCGCTGGCGACTAAGTAGGGCAAGAAGAAGTTACCTCAAGCGCAATGCCAGTGAGAACCTGCAAGCTGAAAGGAGCTGCCTGAAAGGTGCCCAATTGCAATGCTATGGTACGACTTGCCACGAACTCGACATGCCTTACATATATGCCGTTGGCTCGCGCCACTAAGCGGGGGGGGCGGGGGGGCATCCTTTCTGCCAAGCTACAGAGTCGCCGCAACATGGGGAACGCAGGGTTCTCCGCAGCCGGAACTGACTTTACAGACAATACATGAAGAGTTGAAGCTGCCAGGGATGGCAGTCTTGAGCCGAAAGCACGAGCAGTGGCGTTGCAATCAGGGCTGCCTAATGGATCAGGTAGCAGCTCTGCTAGAAACGTGTTGTTTCCCAGCTGAAGGAGGAAGTGGTTACAATCAGAACAGGCGACATGCCAAATAGCTGGAGATTGACATGGACACTTCAATAGTCTGTTAGTCGTTCATTCGGCCCCTGCAAAGTATGCGGTGCGTCGGCTGAGCACACTGCTGGGCGCATGCAGGGCAGCAGGGGCCCTGGCGACGCTGGCATCAGCGGCACTAAATTTGCAAGCTGCGCTTGAACTCAATGTAGTTGAAACTTTAAACAAAATGGAAAGAACAAGGATACACAAGCATACGCAGAAATTATGCCAAATTCAGTTGTCTTACAAGCATCTAAACTTACAAGGTATGACGCGTCAATCCTTTTCTGCGTCTTGTTGCAGCTTGGGCCGTAACAGGATTTCCTGCCATGCCTGCCCAAGACTTCAGATCTTTGTCAGCCCTCGCCAAGCAATGGAGCCGTTCTCTCAATCTATCTCATTCGGATTCAACAGCAGCCGCTGAACGTACATTCCCGGCGGATTTCTACACTTGACACACGAGCGGCGCACATAGAGCCAAGGGCAAGACCCCCTATGCGGCCATTTTGGTTCCCGAGAACAGCGAGGAAGAAGCGGGTTAGCCATCCCAATGTGCCTTACCCAAAACCATGGTGGGAGCAATGATTATGATCGCCATCAAAAGCTTAAAGCAGTGGAGGAAGCTATGCCTCCGCTGCTATAAGCTTCCGCTGCCCGCCTCAGGGTTCCTCAACTCCTCCAAACTACATCGTGTTTCTTGCTTGAAAAAAACGACGAAGATCCCAACAGCGGTAAATCGGAGAGAATTCTCCGCATATAGCGATTCGAGTGCGTTAGGCGATTGGCGACCAGAACAATGGCATGAAAACGTTCACTTTTTGATTCTGCCAGGGTAAACTTAAACCCAGGGGTGGTTCATTGCCCCCAAAAGGGAAACCCCTGGATTGAAGTTCAGCTTGAGGTAGTGAAAACTTGGAGCCCTGATGACAAGAAAACGTGTCAAGGCCCCTCAGCTTGCTTCGGAAGCTTTCCCGTTTGGGGAGGATTCCCCTTTGTCCTTTGTTTGGGAAGTTGGGACCCCCAAAATGGCGCAAGGGTGTTCCTTCTTTGCCTCCCATCTTTCTTACCAACCAAATGAACAGGGTGTCAACTCGTTTCTCCAACTCGCCCTCTCCAAGGCACCTCTCTCCCAGCCTTGCCACCAGCGCCATATCGTCCACCGCTAAGCCCGCTAAGCGGCTAAGCCAAGCTGAAGCCGGTCGACGAGCCTTCGATCAAGCGATGCTTGCATTTACCCAGTGAAGGACGCATTCCGAGGCAGGCTTGCACGTCTTCCCAGTGGAGAAAGTAGTTGGGGTTGGCAAACTTGGAGCGACCCTTTGGGCAAAACACAGCGAAATTGGCATTTCAATAACTTAACGTAAATCAAGTAAATGCGGTAGATGGTGCAGTGCTCAAGGCTTTAAACTGTACAATGCACACCGAGTGGAAACAAGAAAGCAATCCAACCCTCGCCCTTCCATGAATGCATTCAACCTGCCAGTTGAGAAAAGGCTCTTGGATGGAGTCTGGCAATTGCAGTTGTACTCTAATGTCAACCTAAGCAATGGGGGCCTATTAAGTAATAAAATTCTCGGCCACCGGACCTGCTTTTTCACCCAATACTAAATTAAGAAGGGGCAAATTCAAAAGTTAATTGCAAACATACAACACCGCCCCCCCAAGTCGACCCTCCAAGGCACAACATTAATCAAAAAAAAAAAAAACTCACATTAATAAAATTCCCTGAAACGCGGGGGCGAGCCAAACAAGTTTTTTGTATCATGAAGCAATCAGTAAGCAGGTAGCGCGCAGAAGTTGATGGCACAGAGACACATGCAACAAGTGTGCAGCGCACCAGGCAAGGAAATTATATAACTGAAACCTTCAAAGGCTCCCCAGCAGACCTCCGATCTCCAAAACACATACAGGCCCGGAAAGTGCGGCTTTTAGATTAAGTCTCTTTAAAAAAGTGATGTCCCTGGACTCCAACATGAGGTACCCCGCACAAGCTCCCCAAACCCGCATTAGTAACAGGGTGCACATTAATAAACACCCCAAAGCGACCCCTAGGAAGAACTAGGTATTGGTACTACTACAAGTACTACAAGTACTACTAGTACTTGAAGCAGTACTACGAGTACTCGTTGTACTAGAAGTAGTAACGAGTACTGGAAGCAGTGCTACAAGGACTACTACAAGTACTACAGCTACTACTACAAGTACTACATGTACTAGAAGCAATGCTACAAGCACAATTGTTGTTTATTACTGTACTTTGCCTGAAAATCATAAAAACAAATAAAACAGTTGAGGGGGGGCCGTCGACATTAGCGGGTGAACATCAAACAACATGATGTTCGCAAGCAAAGGCGCCAGTAACGGCCCCTACGGCTTGCCCAAGCAGACCGGTGTTGAGCAGCGTGTGTGGTGCAGCGATGCAGCGAAGACTAGTTAGCCAACAAAGTACTTGCGCAGGCAGAGGTGATACCCTTTTGGTCAGCAGTGTCAACCGAACTGGCTGAGCAAAGAAGCACTTGGACAACCCCCTTTGACAGGAGAACAGCTTCGCTGCTAGCTGATGTTTGCTTACTCCCAGTTGCTTGAGCTTAGTTTACCTACCCAGAACCATGTAAAGAACTTAAATGGCGGCTGTACCCATTTGTGGTTGAGATTATCCCTTCCTCACCTTCATCTACCCGGGTTTTTGATTGTGGCTCACAATGGTTGCATGGTCCCGACAACGTTGCATTCAGGTTCATTGCTTGATCCGGAAGAAACATACATCCCCTCCCTTCCATGACATAGGCCTCGAAGCGAGGGTCAAACACATGTCTCATATCGCAGGCTCTCCGCTGGCGTTTTTCACATTTTCTGGGTTGCCCACTGCCCCAGCTCCGCTGGAAAAGCCGAATCAGACCGGCCCGCGTCCCGCATGTGTGTGCCCGAAACCGTGTTCAGCAAGCAAACCGAATCTCTCCAAACACATTTGTCAAAAAGCAAGTCCAAGATGCTCACCGCGAGTACTCTGAGCGAAGTTTGGGGAACAAACTGCTGCCTGCACCCTACGAATGACACGCAGTGCATCTGAGCCGATTGGCCCAGGTGTCTTGGAAACAGCAACTCCTCATAATATGGCCACAGGTCAAAAGCCATCAGTTCCCCCAGTGCACATCCCAGTCCCCACTAAAATAGACTAAAATGGGTGGTAATTCACCTACCCCAACATGAGATCCCATTGGTTTTGACCCACAGCCATATCTGCTCGATGCATGCCCGAAGCTTCTTTCCAAAACCCGCACTTTAATTACCGGAGTGAGGCGATCGCCTCACAAAGTGCAACTTGCCCCGGCCCTTTGAGCCGGCCGCTAATTCACTCATCGCCCATCTGCTGAGAGAAGGAACTCACGCTGAGGGCAGGGCCCCAAAGGCACCTTGGGCAATGTTCCTTCACGGCACCTACGGTCTAGAAAACGCTTTGGATGTAGCGAATCTTTGGATCCACCCTGTAGTAGGATACAAACAAAGTACCAAGCAATTCAAAAAAAAGAGCCAACCTTGGCATGAACCGTGAGATACGCAAAAAGCGCAAACGCCGCGAGCCGGGGAAACAACTTGTCTAGCATCTTAACCTCTACACCTTGCGGCTCTGAAGAAGGGGCAAAGGAAGCCTGCCCAAGGGCCCAAAGCGAACAATTCTGGGAATCCAGAAATCACACCAAATGAGCAAAACGTGGTTAAACAGCCACGTCTGACCTCAAAAACGGTTGACCCCTCTTGGGTTCGACTCCATGTTTGGCACATCAAATCAGATCAAATCAGGGTGAGAGTAGAATTTACAAAGAGCAACCGGCGTCTCTCAAGGAGCAACCCCCTGGAAAATGCGAAGAAATCAGGAAATCAGGGTGATTTTGAGACTTGAATTCACAGAGCAACAGGTGTGTCTCACAGAGCTCCCTACAAAATGCTTCCCCTTGGTTCCAGAATTTGCCTTTTCCACTGAAATGAACCGCCTCCCTTGAAAAGGGTTTCTACACCAGGGGGGCGGCTTAATGTTAACCCAGGATTAATAAACCCCTGTTTAGTTATATGGGGGTGTCCTCGGTTTTAGTGGGGATTCATCACTTTTGGAGAGGAACACCCCCATATTATTAAACAGGGGTCTATTAGTCCGGGTCAACATTCGTTATCAACCACCAGACAGTGGCAAACCATGCGCCTTGGTTCGAACAAACATCTGAGGCTCGGAACGCCCTGCGCCTTAGTGACGCCCAGCTGGTGGAAGAAGACCCCACAGAGACCTGACGCCGATCCGCCAATTCAGCCCCCCCCCACCCGGCTGCTTGGTAGTTTGGTTTGGTGCTTGGTGGTTTGGTTTGGCGGCTTGGAGGTTAGGTTTGGTGTTTTCCTAGTTACCCTCCACAAGAACCAGGGGGTCGAATCCAAATCCAAACCACCGACTAAGGGGTGCCTGATAATTGGTGGTTTGGATCGGTGGTTTGGTGGTTCTCTACAAGAACCCAGGGTTCAAATCCCAAAACCAATCCAAACTACCAAATGTACACGCAACTCTGGGCAAGGAACTACATCCCCGCCAAAAGGCGAACCACTCCTGATCACTCATTCTCCGGGTGGATATGTTCTTCTTAATTATGAATGACTCCCTCAGAAACAATAATGTTTTCCTGAGACCTCGGTAGTTTTCTTATCATGCGAGCATTTTACGCTTGGGGTGAGGGATAAATCCAAAGTTGACATTCTCAGAGTCACCCACAGGTACCAGGTTAACGTGAAGCAATCCAAGCTTTCTGAGCTTGAGAGCCAAACGCGAGCATGCCCTGTGCCGGAGCCACGCCATGAAACTGATCAAGCGAAATGGGGGAATGCGCATCAAGACCCATCGCCGAGACTCCAGTTGGAAGCAGAATCCTGAGTAGTGCATCCTTTTGGTACCTAGCGGGAGGGCAACACCGAGCCACTCGGGAATCGATGGCAACCTCAGGCCCACGCGCAAGTCGCGGGATGATGCGCCGATTCCGACCTTGGCAGGGATGCTCTTGCTGTGCTCCCAGGGCCGCCTTTTAAGGCCCGCAGCACAGTCTTACCACTTGAGAGGGGACAGGCCGAGAGCTGGCAGGTTTTGCAAAAAGCGCCAGAGCTGCCTTTTGTTGGGCTCCTCTTTCTTGGTATCATCCCAATGCACTTGAACCAGCAACGTCGCGGACAAGAAGCTAGATGTAGTGGCAGGTGGGAAACCAGCCGGACAAACCAGGAACATTGAAATAGCAAGTGTAAACAAACGGCAGGGCAATGTCCAACGGCAGCGTTTGGCAAAACAGTCCAGCCCGGACATGGCGGGAATCAAGCCCCTCCCAGTTTGTCTTCTTCTACAAGATGTATCAGTGGATTCTAATCGGAAATTGCCGAATCCCCCCCCCCCCCGATTTGTTTGCAGATTCCAATGGCAAAATCCGCCAGGGTGAATTGGACTTCATAGGCCCTTCAGATTCGGAGACTGCTGGTAACCCAAGGCAAATCAAAACCCTTGCAAAGAAGGATTTCAGCATGTTTGCTCTAAACTTGCCTTCCGGACCAGGGAGCCAAAAAGCTTTCGTGGCGACAAAACTGTTGCACACCCCGTGATGTTCAGGTTTCCAGGTTCAAGAAGTGGCTTGCAGATCACCTGCACGTAAGGCTATCTCAAGTTCCACAGGGTGCTCTGAGGCCAACACGCTGTAGCGTCCATAGACCATGGTCCAGTCATCCTCCTGCATCTCCCATACCTGGGTTTGATGGAACTGCAAGACTCACGGCACGAAACCTATTAGCAAGTCGAGAGGGTCGAGGTGGCCTTCGCTGCGTCTGAAGCACGCTCCGTATTTTGAGCATGGGTCAAAACCAGGGTTGTGGGAAATGACCACTTCTGTGATACAACAAAAAGGGCTTCCCAAAGACTAACACCCCATATACAGGGGGAGATTCCCTTGTATCACAGAAGTGGGAATAAACCCCTTGATTCCACAACCCTGGTCAAAACCAATGGGATTCCATTTTGGGCTAGTGAACTCACCACCCATTTTAGTCTATTTAGTGGGGATTGGGATGTTCACTGGGGCTACGATTTGGATTTTGACCCATGGCCACAAAACCAAAGCCATGCAAACACCGAAGTTGCACCTCATTTCGGTAATTCAAGTACACGTTTTGGAAAAGCTTCGGGCATGCATCGCACAGATATGGCTGTGGTCAAAACCAAGGGTACCATTTTGGGCTAGGTGAATTCACTGGGGGTACGATTTGGATTTTGAGCCATGGCCATGTCTCTCTCTGGTGCGCGGATTTTGTCACTCCCTGGTTGAGCGCCCTGCCATCATGTCACCAGGGCCTTGGGTCAGTCACCGGCGACGCATCAAGCTGCAGTGAGAGTGTGGCTTTCTGCATTGCACACCTAACAAAATGGGACACAGCCAATTTAGTCTCAAGCTTGTGCTTCAAGCAGCCAGGAACTAATATGCCGCAATATGCCTGTCATGCCTGTCATGCCTTTACACCCTGCAACGGGTATCCGCTGAGTTGCTGCTTAATACTTAACCGCACGCTTGGGGTTTCCTAGCTGCTGATGCCCCGTGCCCCAAGCAAGCGACGACAAATGAAGCCCGCCGAACTGCAGCTCGTGTGCTGGGAGCCGAGAGCCTGACCCACTTTGAAGACCACCTCCTCTGCCTGCACACAATTTGACCATTTAGCAGCCTGGTGATAATATCATATTGCTGGTCAAAACCCAGGAAACCCCTGGTGAACAGCAAAATAGGTGGCAAATGGATGCTCATCCACCCTAAAATGGAGCCATAGGTTGTGCCCCATGGCCAAAATGCTCACAAAGAACACGGATTTCACCTTCTTGCTGCATTTTCCCCTTGTTGTTTCCATCAACAGGGGCACACATCACTGCGAGACTTTGGTTGGGAAAAGCCTCGAGGGAGGAACCCTTTGCGGCTGCCGGAGGTTGGCCGTGTTTTCGGCGGAGTGTCCGCATTCCAGTGACCTGGTACCAGCATCCGTCTTTCGGGGTTGACTTGATAGGTTCCCGCGTGGCGTTTTGAGCCCATGAACCCCAAAGATGTGGGCCACTGTTGGCACTGTTCCGGCCCTGTTGCGCCAAGGAGCCATAGTCAATCCCGTTTTGAATCAACCACATCCAACCAGCAAATCCGGGATTGTGTTTAATCGCCGGCTTTCCGTGCACTTGCTCCCCTAGTTGCAATCCTTGGTGTCAACTGGGGGTCGGGAAAAGCAACTCGCTGGTTTGCATGCGCTACGTTACACTTGCAACAAAAATGTAAGGCATCCACATCACCAGTCACCTGTTCCAGTCAGATTTGCGCCAATCTTTAAACTCTCAAAGGGAGGAGGTCGCCAGATTTGCGCCGAAACCACCAGCTGGATTTTTATCACTGGCTGCCCTCAAGGGTCCCAAAATCTGGCCTCCCCGGGTTGCAGCAGCCGAGTGCGATGGAAGCCCCGCAGCTGAGTGGCGGGCTCCTGTCCGATTGACCCGCGCTTTGGGTGACAGATCCAGCCATGTTGCGCCCCCCCAATCACACTGGAGACAAGGCCAAACGGCCAAAAGGCGGTGCCGTCCCCCTAAAGGCGGTGGGGATTCTTCGCGTATGTCAAAGGTGGTGCTTTTGTTTGTGCACGTCCTCTTGAAACAAATTCAGTATGCTTCCCAAAAAGGACGTGGGAATTTGGGGTGGCGCCGGTGGGGAATTTGTGTGTGTATGTCCTCCCCGAACCAAGAAACTACCCCTCCTCTCTTGGGGCCCTACGGCATCCTTGAATCTTGCTGAGTCCAACCTGGACACCATTTTGGCAACGCACATTTGGATCTTATCACACTTCAACAACTGTCATATATTGCACTTACGCGCAATTAGCCTTGGCCTGGTATGGTGAACAACAAGGTAAAAGGTGAAACGACCTGCTTCCCAAATACAGCTCTGCCAGCTGGCACAGACTCGGAGAGGCCGTTCCAACGGCAACCGTGTTTCACTTGGATGTTTTGTGATAATTTGTGCATAGCACGCATGGTTCCTGCGGCGAAATCCGGGCCGTGAGCAAATATCGGGCATAGCGGCGGGGCTGGCAGACATTGCCTTTGCACCCTGAGTTGTCAATTGCCAATGCGCGTCCAGGCCAGCACTTTCTAGGGTGGGTTGTCTTAGGAGAGTTTGGGGGGCCATTCTTGGCCATGCATCTCCTGATGTGTTGCTTTCCAATGGGAAGATTGCTGTCCTCTCCTGGAACTGGATTGTGAATGGTTCAGTCAGAGCTGTGCACTGCCCTGCCAAGAGAATGAGAAGTGGAGCTTGGGCTTTACAAAGACTTACAGCAAACTGCCGAAGTTCATTTGCACAAGGAACCAAATATCACGAATCGGTGCCTCAGGGTGTACCCTTAGGGGTATGAGGCAATGAACTTATAGTGCAGCAAGTACAAGTACCACTTGTTGGTGTATGGTTTTGTGTTGACCCCAACGCTGGCGCTGTCCAAAGAGCACCAGAGCATGGGGATGGATGAAAGGCTGACGTCGAAAGGGGAGGCCACGCGATGGAAATTGCAGAGCGCAGACCTTCCGAGCTGTACCGTGGTAGGTTACTGAACCATCGATGCATGGATTCTAGCGTCAGCGCTGGTCACCATAGCTGGATCCAGAGCATCCAAATAAAAACTGATGGATGACTGAGCTCCACTGATTCTTCGCTTCAAGCCCGGCCTGCTGGATTTCCGGCACGGTGGTCGGAAAGCCTGGCAAAAATGCGTGCAAATCGCAACCTGAAGCTGGTGTTCGTTGAAGCTGACCCAAGGTAAGCGCCCATAAGTTGAAACTGTGGGCAACAAATATGTGGCACAGGTGGGCATTACGTGGGCATATGCATCAACAAGAACCTGACCGGTTGCCAGGTGAGTTGCATTGTTAATGCCAATGCCTTGCTGCCAGCACCAGCAGTTGTTCCAAGGCAAAAGCTCTCCCCTTCCAGCGCCCAAGCAGTGGCACGTGTCTCTGGATGGCACGTGATCAAAGAGCTGAAAAGCTAAGTGCCACGCCCATGAACTCATCCAAGCGGATCGAAAAACCCAAGTGGCGTATCAGGTGTCTAACATGTCCATGCGCTAAATTATTGTCCGGTGAAATCTTTCAGTGAACCATGTGCCGTCGTCTGGGGACTAAAACTTCCATGGCGGAAGGGAAAGGACCCCGTGACGCCACACAGGATCAACCCACAAATGAAACACAACGCTGCTTGCTCAGTGCGACAAGCTCAAAGGACGCAGGAAAAGAAGCCCACCTGAGGGCACAGTCAATTGCAGCAATTCAAATCAAGGCAAGAAAAATTATGCCCTTCAACATGCTTCCACCCCTCCGCACGCAGAGGATGTGTCCCATTTTTCTCATGGGTAGAGCATGAGAAGGCCCGCAGCTTGGCGGTGGATCAAAGTGGCAGCGTGCGGGATGGGCTGCGGATTGTCTGTCTCCGCCTTTGGGTCCATTGACTCCTCGGGTCACATGGCTTGCTAAGCCCGGAAAGCAACTTGGCTTTCGGACTTTGCTGGGTCCATGGGAAACATGGCAGTTGCGGAGGGATGCACAGAGATGCAATCATGATGTGTTTTTTCTTTTTTAGCGGGCGCTGGTTGGCACTTGGGTCTTGTCTACGACAAATCATGCCACGTTGGCAGCTTCTTTGGTGCGTCCGACCCGTTCCAGTCGCTGTCGAGCTTAACTTGTGGCTTACATGGCCACCCCTACTAAACCCACTAATCACTTCTTCCTATCAATCAACCTACCCCTAATAATAAAACTCCCCCGAGCCGCGGCAAAAAATCGGCAATACTTTTTGTTTAGATTGGCCAATACTAAACCAATACTAAACTCCTGAGACTACACATGCTTTCCACCAAGCTCCCAAGATATGCTTAGCGGTCCCCGCTCCAGAGTGTACGGGCTGTTTAGCTGATCAAACGCACTCTCTCAAGCTGGCTGACTCGCTAACCCTTCCAACCAAGTGTTATTATTAGGTGTGTTCTTCGCCCAAAAACCTGAAACAAGCAATTAGTTTTATGAAATGGGACACTCCCTTTCAAAGTTCTTACTTAAAAGTTGCAATCTGAGCAGTTTTTGCTCCAAATCAAAGGAGATCCACTTTCCAAAACAAGTCCAATACTAAACAGCAAACTATTAACTGGATCTAGGCCCAAACCGGCGACCCCTATTTAAAAAAATCCCCCCCCCGTTCTTTTTATTTATTTATTTTGGGGGGGGGAGCGGGGAGGAGGGACGTTTTTTTTGTTTCTTATTTGTTTTTTTTGTTTTTTTTATTAGGGAGAAGCGATTGAACCACTCCCAAAAAACAAAGCCTCATAACCGGACGGCTGGGAAAAAATCAAAGAAACCAGACTCCCTGAGCGCTTTTCCAGCGCGGAAATACAACCCGGCTCCCCTTGAATTCCACCGGCTTCCGACCTCCACCCACCGACTCACCGACCGACCGGCTCGCGACCGTCCGACTCGGCGTCCTGCAGGACGTTGCCGGGGGCCCCGAGCACCGCCAACCCGAGGCCCAGCTGCCCGAAGAGCCGCTCGTCCCGGAAGCTGCCCGCGGGCCCGTCCCCGCCTCCTCCCGGGCGAGTCAGGCCGCGAGGGCGCGAGGCGCGCGCGCGAGGCGCGCGCGCGAGGAAACCCGAGGAAACCCAGGCGGGACGTGGCTCACGGCTGGAGGGGTCAGTCCACAGCCCAGCGATTTGGGGGAGGGTTCTCGGAGAGGTGTCTGGAGTCAGTCCCCAAGACTTCGCATGAGTTTCGGATAGGTCTTAGGGTGGGGATTTTTTTCTGCTGAGGTTCAAGCGTGAGGCCCGCAATAAGTCATATGAAATGTTTGAGTGCAAAGAAGCGTGGACACTGGCTCTGCGGCAGAACAAGTGTGACTTGCATTTCTGTAATCAAATTCGAAAAGCGCAAATTGGAGGGGTCAGCTTGATGATTTTCTTCTCGATCATTAAGTTTTCATGCATAGCCTTTCGCTCACCAAGCTGGGATTTGGCGCCATTGTGTGGCTCACAAATGACCCTTTGATAAAAGATCCCGTCTCAAAGGCGAAGTGTTGGAGTGGCAAGCGGTAAGCGACAAAGTGCCCTGCTGATGGAGCATGGGGTTCAACAGTAGGTCAGTTCCCGCAAACTTGCGCCTGCCATTCCCCACGCCCCTTCCCAACCGCTCCGAAGGCAAGAGTCACAAAGGGCTGCTGCTCTTTCTCCTTCTTCGCCGCGCGCTCCATGGAGTAGGCGGCAAACATTTGTCCGAGCCTGGCAAGTTTACGCTTGAACACGATTGGGCCCCCTCAGCTGCTCCACCCCTAAAAGGGAATAATCCAGGGTTAGGGATGAACCGGAAAGGGATGCCCTGAAAGGAAACCACCAGTTGGATGAATTATCCCGGGGTCACTCCAACTCATCGCCTGCGGAGGTTGCCACTGATGAATATGGAACCTGAAATTCGGGAAGGTTCTGGTTTGGACCATTTGCCTTTTAAAGGGACCGGGTCCGCACGTCAGGTTTCACGTGAATTGGGAAGGTAAATCCCCCTCAGCTGCTCGAAAGCCAAACTTCCCGCATCTTCCCGCCAAAGGCGCTTCCGCAATGACACATTGTTTGAAAAATGAACCGGATTTCGGGGATTCCCTGGATGGTTTTACTGTGTGTCTCGTTCCCTGCCTATTGCATGTTGCTTGGGAAGGTAAGTCCCCAGCTGCTCCCCAACGCCACTGCCCGCCACCGAAAGCCGAAATCAGGTTTCATGGTGAAGTGGTGGGCAAATACCTGCTGGGGATGGGTAACGGTTCCCTTCCAAAAAGAACAACAACAGTTGGATGGTCTCATTCCATTTCTCGTTCCCCTCTCGCCCCCAAAGCCCAAAAAACCCCCACCTGGCCGTGTCCTCCTGGTTCCGGAACAGCTGGGCGCGCGCAATGGGCCGCGCTAGGCGGCCCCCGCCTCCCACCAACTCCGCGCCCGGCCCAGGGCCGTCCAGCAGCAAAGAGCCGGTGGCAAGGAGCTGGCGCGCCTTGTACCTCAGATCCCAAAGGAACAAAACAGGTGGGGGGTGGCAAAAATGTAGACCCTAAAACCTGGTGCCGCATGGGGGTCAAAAATGGAGATGGGACCACAAACATGTTTCATGTGGGGGGGTGGCAAAAATGGAGACCCTCAAACCTGGGACCCAAAACAGGTGGGGGGCGGCAATGAAGATTCTACCCCCAGACCTGGGATTGTGGTGTCTGGGACCTGCCGCAATTGTGCCGCCTGAGAAAATGCCCCAAGAGGGCCCCTTTTGGCAAACCTTCAATGCGCCCTCGCGACCAATATTAGGAAGCGCGCAAAGCCCATGTGGAAAGACTGCTTTCCTCTTGGAAAGGGGAAAGAACATGCACTTCCATCTTAATTTGCGGGAGGGTATGTCAAGTTGAAAAACCCTTGGAAGCAGCGGTTGGTGTGCGACCTGGCTGTGACTCACCTCAGCTTTTGCCCACCAAACATGTTGGAGTCTGGCTAGCATATTGAGTGAACCTTAAAATAAGTTCAAGAGAGATCCCCGTCAAAGCCCATAGTTTAGGTGGAGTATACAACACAAGTCCACTTGGTCCATGTTGAATCCTAGGGACAACAGAACCAACCCTCATCAATCCGCTTCGGTTTAAGCCAAAAATGACATGTTGGGAATCTGGCCATTTTTTGTGCATGTCAATGGTTACCTTGAAATATGGGATGTCAAAAGAAATTTGTCACCTGGGTAAATTCCCAGGAAGCAATGTTGGAAATCAACCAACAGCAAGAACATCAAAAGCAAGCAGGAACGAGAAAGTTTTCGTGCAACACAACAGCAACAATCATTCGGGCTCCAAACAGCTTCGAAACAAACAGCAAAAGGTTATGGTACACGGCAGCATGCCAGATTTCAGTGGCCTGATATTTGGTCGTGGACAGGTGGGATGCCCTGAATGAAACTTCAGCGCTTCCTTAGGCGCTTAGGCCTATGGCCGGTCAGCTTCAAACCTCACCTTCCAACGCAGTGACGTCACACATTGGACAAGCAAACGGCTTCCCTTCTCAACCTTCTGGGAACCGCATTTACCCCATGCTTTATTAAGTTCAAAGCCACCCATGTTCCAGCCTTCTTGGGGTACCTTTTTCTGGAATGCCGTAAGTAAAGGCATGGTGAAAACTACAAGTTCCGGGGATTCCCCGATTGAAGGATGGGCTTTTGCCTTTCCCATCCGCGGGCGAGTTGCAAGGCGAACTCCCCACAAGAGGAGGCCTCTGAGCGCATGGTCCGCAGATCTGCCCGGGGGATGCCCACCCACAAATCCGCCACCTCCACGTCCAGGTCACTCAAGGCCTGGACATTGCAAAGGGACCCTTTGTCAGGTTTCACGTGAATTGGTGGGAGGGTAATTCGCCGGCCTAAACATAGAACTGCGCCATGAGCAGAAAGTGTTTTAAGTTGACCAGCCGGCGACAGAACCAGTGCTGCCCGGATGGGGCACAAGTTGGGTTACACTGGCCCCCATTACCTTGCCATGATCAAAGTCATAATGAACCCAGTTACCCTGGCACAAGCCATTTTCCAACGTACAAGCGGTATTGTGGTTGCGACCTAACTGTACCTAAGTATCCCCGAATCAACCCCAGCTTTTGGCCAACCAAACGCCATGGTCATCATTTTTCCCCTGACATCACCTCCAAGCTCCCAC